CGGACGGTTTAAATTGATTCAAACCTCTTAGAAATTTATGACCGTCCGATTGTGAAAACAACAGATGATACTAGATTCATTATGAAGCAGGCAATTCCTGTTCGGTTAGCTCTTACGTGTCACAATTTGTCAAGCCGTGGCTCACACGTGTACTCTTTGCAAATTTCGAGAGATCCAATATCTGAGGACAACGCAGGTAAAATGCCATTAATAGATTTCTTTCTATACTAAAAATTGATTTCTTTACGTCGGTCTTACTATTTCTTATTTCTTTCCTATATATTATATATACCGTAGGATTTCGATAAATTAATAATTATTATAAATTAATAATTTTTATCGATTTTAAATCAGATTAATATAAAAATTAACAAAACTTGATAAAATAACAAAATAATATTTTTTTTTGAAAATTTTATATAAAAATATGATTCTAATAATAATATAAATTAATAATTATACATATATACATATATTAATAATTTAATAATTTAATATAGTAAATTATTATAATATTATTATTTTAAATTTATAAAATTTACTTGTTTTATCTTCTAAATTTATTATTATGACAGTTTTAAATAATTTTATATTGTTATAAATATTTATTTTATTTTTTGATGAATATTAAAAAATTTAAATTAAAAATATTTCTATTAATTAATAATTCTATAAATTAATAAAATTTAAAAATCTCAACATTTGTAAGTGTCTAAAGCCAAAATAAATAGCATCAAATTTTTGATAAATTGTTTGGTGATTATTCTTATACAACTAAATAATCAAAATTAAAACTATATATTATGTTTGTGTTAAATAATGATATGGTCATTTATTAGCAAAAATGATAAATGAGAAAAAAAATAATTATCACGTACAATATATTTAAAATCAGTCTTTGCATGTTTTTTTTACAGATGACATATTCTTTGTTCGATGATAATACATTATTTACGCTATTTATTTAAATAATCTGCAACAACAATAACAAATTATTAAGAAAAAGTTCAAAAAAACAATAACAACTTATTTACGATTTTTATGTCCATATGATCATCTACTTCTAGCAAAATGACCGCATGCAATGTTATTGAATGATATCGATAATGTCTTTTTCTCTATGCTTGAGTGTTCGAACACCCGAAAATGTTTTCGTTCTTGGTAAACAGTACAAAGTCTTGGCAAAAAAAAATAAGAAAGGAGAAAAATTCATAAATGACAACTGCATCTAGGGGCGATGGATTCCCGGGAAATGCCCGGCAAAGAGGAGTGGTTGATGAAATATATAAACCTCCTAGAAAGAGCACTTTTTAATATAAAAATAGCAGTTCTTTAAGTGTCTTAATTTTGGGGTTAAACTCTGTCTTTTTATATTGCTAAGGTAAATTTAAAAATCAAGAAGCAAACATTATTGGAAATGGCATCACCTTCTTGCCAGACTGATACTGAAAGTTACTCGCAAGATTTTTAAAAAGTTTCAGCAAAAAAAAAAAAAATGTCTTTTTATGATTCAAACCAAATAAAAAAATAATATATATAATTCAAAGAAAATGTAAAATCCCATCGTTATTAATTAGACCCACATATTTTACTTGGTCTGCCAGCATCCTGCATGCACAAATAATTTATTACAAAAGCTTAATATTGTTTTACTAATAATCATAAAAACATAAATTTTTATTTAAATTATTTAAATTATTTAAATTACGAATTATATCTACCAAAAGATTTTAGATCGAAGCCATACTAATTAGTGAAAGTATATTATCTTTTTAATTAAAGTATCTACAAACAATTATGATATACATGTATATATATATATATACTTTTAACAAACAATTATGATTAAAATCGTAGTAAGAACAACTCCAACTAAGCTTTTTAGCAAGAAACAAGAAATGAAGAACAACTCCAACTATGGTTCTTCCAATCCAAATATGAGTTCTCACTTTTCAACCACTTTACCACGATTTGAACAATTCAAATATAGGTAAAAATGTATAAGTACACACATTAGTACATTACTTTTGTTTTATGGAAGAGAGAGAGCTCTTCTATGGAATCAAACAAACAATTCGAAGCAATAGCAGGGAAAAGAGTAAATACGAACTTCAAGACGTAAGTGGGTCCATACTCTAATGGGCTGGGCGGTGGGTCCACGTTATGTAGGAAAGTGGGAAAAGACAAGAGAGAAGAGAATAACCCAAAACGAATTTGTAAAAAGAGAAAAAGACAGAGAAAGACTGACGTCACGGGAACATATATATTTGGCAGCTTATTGAAAAAAAGAGAGCCAATTTCAATATTAACACTGGTAGTTCCACATTGTGACTTATGAAAATGCAAACTGTAATTTTATTGTATAAGAATTAAGAATTAGATGCTGTATTTGTAATTAGTTTTATAGTAGTAAAAAAAAAATATGCAGCATATAAGACAAACACAAACAAGTGGGTTTCGTTAACATCGGAGCCTTGCGCAAGTGTGCGACGTTAACTTGTTAAAATACTTGCTTGCACGTATTCTTTAGCTCGTGTAAAGTGCATCATACTCCAAGATCGTCTTATTTCCCGCCTATCAATAAACTTAATACTTTTTTTTAGCATACTACTAGTCTACACAATTTGAATAGAAATTGTTTAGCAATTGTTAGTCTACCAATACATATTTTTATTCACTTATATGTAAACTATATTGCACGTTAAAATCTATATAGGTTAACCACTTCGAACTTTATTTATCAAAAGCGAAAGCTTTCCTTGAGTGTTACATATAAATATACACACATATCACTTACTATTTCTTTGACAAAAAATTGAAATAAATGAGATTTTGCGGTGTAACAACAATTGGGACGGTGTTGGTGACGCGGGCTGTTAATGACGGTGTGGACTTTAAGTTCGTTTGAAGAGGTTGTAACGTACCAAACATCCTTTATATCACCATCTTAAGAAAAGTGTATTTATAGAAAATATACAAAATTTTGAAAATAATGAAATGACTTTTGCCTTTTGGTTGGTTAACATACACATTCAAATTTCCAAGCTAAGCATTTCGTTACTTTTGCGAGTACATTGACAAAATCAGATATTCCACCATATATATACATATATATGAATGGGTTATATATAATTTTCCTCAAAAGTTAGCTTACTTTTCTCTCTTAAGTACCATATACTAGCAGTATATTATCTGAATAATATCATGTATTTTATTTAAAAACTAAAACATCATCTATTTATATTTAATAAAAACTGAATTTTGATAAACCCTAGTGCATCGACAAAAAAAAAAAAAACTAAATCTATCAGAATTTGAAAAAAAAATTATACCATCAGTGAATCATTTACTCTGGTCATATAGTACTATTTTGTTGAAAATCAATTATTCATTACCAAATTGCAGAGAACAATTCCATTGATATTCATTTTCATTCTCGATTCTACTATGCTACAATGTCTATTGTTTTACACTTTTACTTACTATAGTAACTAGTACATATACTTTCACAGCTAGTCACACTCACACCTAATCTACATTAAAATAACACCGACCTTACCACGCACCACTACTATTTGTAGCTCACCAAGCTCCTCAAAGTCTTCGCAAAAACGTCACCAACCCACGGAAATTCATAAAGGAGACAAGACGACAATTTTATCGATTTGAATACTTATAAACAAAAACGTAAGAAAAAATATTATATTTACATTTACCATTTTGTCGAGAAACAAGAAGAGAAACACTAGTAGTAGAAAGTGGTGTCGTCATCAAGGTAACGCCTTAAAGAAAACCCCACGCGCGTGGGGTCCATCTATTCTCTCCGAATCCCCATGATTTTCTTTAACGTCTCCCAAGTGCTTGTGGGACCCATGTTTTATGGAACCGTGGTAGAATTTACTTATTTGCTTTTAGCCCCCCCTAATATTTCGCTTAATTACAATATTGCCGCTATTTTGTTCCTTCTTCTTCTTTTGCTACCTTTAAAATTTCAAACACTTGGACTTTCAAACATTTTTACCTTGGAAATATGTAAATGTAGACATTTAAGGTAAATAAGCTCAACTGTTTCATTAGTTATATGATTTAACTTTAAGTTTGTTCATTAAATAAATAGGCCTAAGTGGTAATGTGGTAAAATTAGAAATGTATATTCTATTCTATATAATAGAGTTATAATAGATAACAACTCGTATATATGTCATTGTTAAGTGAGTGTTTTATTTAGTGACATGTTATTCTATTTGATGAATATTTTTTTGTTGGATTTGATGAAAATTATTCAATAAAATAACATAAATGTACTAAAATAATAAATAATACTGTGCAAACAATTTTTTTATGATTAACCTTATTTATTCATGATTTCATCCATCAAAACTATTCACCTTAATAGGTTCTATAATTTACTTATATGGTAATTTACCCTGTAATTTTACATGTATTATTTCGCTGAAAAGTTAAAGCGAGTCATACTTTAATAATAATAATATTGTCGGATTGAAAAGTAAATGAATTAGAAAGCAAATGTGGGGGAAAAAAATATTTTACTTTTTTTTAACTAAGCTCTCTCGAAAGTTCCTCTGAAACTGCGGGACGAATAAGTCACGAAAAAAATATTTTGTAACGCCTCAAATTATTATTCCTTATGTGTTAGTAATAAAGTATTTCTAGAAAATAACAAAAGTGGTTTTCGATTTCTTGTACTTTCAAATAAGCAAAGAAAGGTTTTTTAGTTACTACATAGCCAATAGATTCCCTCTCTCTCAAAATTCGCCCCTTGTTTCTTACTTTCTCTCTCTTAAACCCCCAAAATAAAAATATCTTTTGCTATAAAATCCCACTCACACTTTCCTCACAAATTCTCCACCCACAAAAAAACCTCTCCCCATCATCTCTCTCTCTCTCTCTCAACCAGAATTAAAAAAAAAATGGAGGTTTCAGCGAGAAAGCCTTATTTCATTGAAGAAGACGACGAATTGGCTTCTTCTCTATCGGAGATGGAAGCTGGGTTCTCTGGTAATATCGGATCGTCGCAAAACGGTGTCGTTCCGAGTCCGTTCTCTTACGCTAGATTGAACAGTCTCAGGAACACGAGCTATTGTCACAGTAACTATCCTCAGAGTCATCAATACTTTGTTTCGTCTCCGAGATCTGCTGTCTCCGGAAGATTCCATGATTTCAGATTCGATAATCAACAACCTCATTTCTTGGATTCGTGTTTCCTCTGTAAGAAACCACTTGGTGATAACAGAGACATCTTCATGTACAGGTAAATTTTAGATCTATACATCAGATCTGATTTCAAAGTTTCTCTCTTTCATTCGAAATTATGAAAAAAGCCTGGAAAAAGAGCTGATTTTTCGGAATAACCATTTCTTATCTTTTTTTTTGTCTCTATATTTACTCAAAATTATAAGAATTTAGATTCTTTTTTTAGTTAAAGGACAGATTTTTGGGATACCCATTATTTCAATTTGATGATTTAACGATTCACGAGTCTGATTCTGTTTGTTGTTGGGTTTGTTGTTTTGCAGAGGAGACACACCGTTTTGCAGTGAAGAGTGTAGACAAGAACAGATTGAGAGAGATGAAGCGAAGGAGAAGAAACAGAATCTGTCTTATTCTGTGAAATCAGCAATGAGGAGAAAAGAGAAACGAAGCTCTTCTTCTTCTCCAACTAGATCTCGTGATTATGCTTTTCACAATGGAACTGTTGCTGCTGCTTGAAACCCGAATCTGATGATGAGTTTGGGAACTATAATAATAATAATAATTAGGTTAAAAGGGGGAAAAAAAAAACAAAAGAGTTGAAATGGTTTCTTAATGCTTCGAAGCTGGTTTTGGGATTTTCTTTTGGTCTTTTTTTAATCTAAAGATCATTTTACTTTTAAGCTTTGAAGTTTCAAGGGAAGGAGAAAGATAAAAGATCCTTAAAACTTCTTCCTTGGTTTTTCTCTTTTTCTTTTGTTTTTTTTTTAATAACTTAAAAGAGTTTTGGGAAGTATGAGAAGAGAAATTGTAAATGCCTGTGTGAATTAACGACCATGGCATATGCTTGAGTTAGTTTTTCTTGTTTCTGTTGGGTAAGGGAAAGAAAGAAAAAAACATATGTAATATAAAATTACATGTTCAACCATGAGAACATATATAATATAGACGAGAAATTTATGAGAATTTACGTAAGCTTGTTTATTTTATTTTTTTGGTTTTGGCAAACGTAAGCTTTATGATTTGATATAAGATTGAGTAACAGTACCAAATTTATACTTTTTGTGGCAAGTTCGGTGACTTGCGAAAAGTGGAAAATAAAGGTGTAAATATCTGTTTTTCAATCAAATGCTTTTTGGTAGTACAATTTTCTTTTTCATCACGGAAATGTTAGTACAATATTTTCCAAAATAATTATCTTTGATATGAGCGGATAAACAAATGAATTAAAAATTATAAAAACGAATAAATTAAGATTTTTCTGTGTTCTAGAAAATACGATTTGTATTCTGTTAACGAGATATGTAAATTGGTCAAGCCAGTAGAACAGTTGTTACCAACAACATAATTCGTGATAAATACCAAACAGCATCATTGCGTTTGCGTATCTTTATCGTACAAAAATTAAGAAGCTTATAAGTTTTGCTGCTGTCTACGATGGAAGATGTAGAATTTCACATTTGAACGATAACGATTGAATTTAAGCGATGAAATTATATTCATTTTGTTGTTGTTGGGTACAATAAACTCTACCGATGAACTTTATATGTTATTGTCGTTAATCTCCAAGATATTTCATTATATTTTGCCAACGAAATATTTCATTTATAAACACACAATAAACTACCATTTTTATCTACTAATCTCACAATAAACCAACAAATCGCATAAACCATAAACCTTATTTATTTATATATATATTAAGCCCACGAAAAAACTTCTAAACTCAGGATCATCCTCTAACACTAACTCCTCTCATACTTCGCTTAACAGGTTCTCCAACTTGTCTCCTCCTTACCTGACTGCTTTCTTCAGTCGCAGCCATGGAACAATCTCCATCATCGGATTCTTCGATAATCTTCTTCAATCTTTCCACTACAAATACCATATCGGGTCGCTCTTTATCGTTCTTTTTCAGACAGAGATCAGCCAGTTGAGCCAGACTCCTAGCTCCAGCAGCTGGATAATTGTTGCGTAGCCGAGGATCAACGATCATGCTAAAGCGTTGACTATCAGCAGGATACTCTTTGACCCAATTCAATAGCCTTTGTTCAGCGGCTGGCTTGTTCCTCTCAATGGTTCTGCGTCCGGTTATGATCTCGTACAGCACAACACCGAAGCTATACACATCGCTCTTTAACCGGAGATGGCCGGTTTGCACGTATTCTGGAGCTGCATACCCTTGTGTTCCAACTCTCTATACAAAGAACCAAGAAGAAGAAATGTCAGACTTTGTAGGAGATTCATCACCCAATAAAACTACTAGTGAGCATTTACATATTTATCAAGCTAAACCGAGCAACAATGTTTAAACCAAAACATCCAAACCAAAACCAAACCAGGAACCGGATAGCAAAAAAAAGGAGACATACAGTAGAAAGTAAACCAAACCGAAACTTGTTAAATAAAAACAAACGGGTTTCAGTTCCTCATTACCAAATAAATGAAATCAGACTGACTTTTAGCATAATCAAACTGAACCTAATAAGGTGAAATTCATGATTTCTATTCCAAATAGATATTTATTATGTCAAATTGACATTGTACAGATAGAGATTTTTGTTTCATATCAAACCAAAAAGATTCAGCTTCAATTTGGTTATTAGCACTCAAAACTAAGAAACCTAAAAGAGAAACCGAAATAACCGAATTGAACCAAAGTGAAATTAACCAAATGCTGACACAACAACAGCATAATCAAACCAAGAGGAGGAGATTTCAATACTTACTGCGGTTGTGACATGAGTATTGTCTCCCTCAGGTCCTTCTCTGGCTAGCCCAAAGTCCGATAATTTCGCACAGAATTCATCATTTAAGAGCACATTAGAAGATTTGAAGTCTCTGTATATCACCTGCCACCAAACAAACCACACACAGTATCATCCACTGAATCATCTAAAACTCAGAAAACTAAAACAGTCAAAAGTTTCACAAAATGTCTCATTCCTAATCTACTGATCATATTCTATACGCCAACATATATGTGACTAATGCTTTTATAGATTGCATCTGTCCTAAACTGCAAAGGTGTTGTCTCAATTTTCAGTTTTTTTATACCTTAACTTCATGTAAATAAGCCAATCCTTCAGCTGCACCAAGCATAATCTCGAGCCTTTGTTTCCAAGGCAATGTGCGTGATCCACGGGTGAAGAGATGATCCTCCAAGCTTCGATTCGACATGAACTCATAAACCAAAAGCCTCTCAATCCCGGCCTCGCCGTCTTCCGAGCAATAACCTAAGAGCTTCACCACGTTCTTGTGATTCACTACCCCTAGAAACTGAACCTCTGCTAGCCATTGCTTGTGACCCTAATACGCCATTAAAACACATAGAGAAGAGAAAAGATCAAAACTTTGAGGCAAAAGTTTCGGACTTTAGATCAAACCAAGTGACAAAGTTGAATCTACTTGATAATTGCCTACTCTGAAGAATTTTCTAAGCTTATATTAGTTCACAGTTTAGAATATTCTTCCAGTTGGCATTAAAACAAAGTACAGAATCCGAATTTAGCTCCATAATTGAATCCATTGATAAATATCGAAGTCTTTTTTCAATTGAGAAACTCTAGCAAAATAAAGAATTGAAATTTCCTTCAGTTTTACAATTAAACAAGTGGCAAAGTTTGAAAGTGCATCCATTGAATTTTCATCTATGCTTCTATTTCAAGATCCTGAATTTTCTTCAATTTTACTTTTCAACAAGTGACAAAGTTCAAATTTGCTTCATACACTCATTGAAGAATATCAAAGCTTAGATTTCACGATTCTAAGCTTTTGTTTCGATGAGTTTTTACTTCAATAATACATCAACGCAAATGATAAAGTTCGGATTAGCTTCAAAAATGAAATTGAATACTTTGCAGTATGTCTAAGCTTCCATTTCTTAGCTAAATCATCTCCAATTGATTAGATTAGCGGAAAAAGACAGAGAGAAGAAATTGAGTGAAGTGATTAAATTTTGAAAATTACTTGTAATCCTTGTCGATTGAGTTTCTTAATGGCGACGACAAGTGGAGGAGAATCAGAGACTCCAGTGATCGGAATTTTTCCTCTGTAAACACTACCGAATCCACCTTCACCGATCGTAAACCTTCTGCTGAACCCACGAGTGGCTTCACTGAGTTCTTCGTAAGTGAAAACCCTAAGATTCTGCTCTCTCTCTGTATACAAATCTCTGATGCTTCGTGGAGAAGGCAAAGATCTCGGCGTCTGGAGATTAAACGACGACGTTTCACTCCGATTCGTCGTCAATTCTGGAGCCGAGTTTCGTAATTCCTTTCCTTTTCTTTTGGTCTTTTTGTTGTTGCTGCTGTCTTTCTGTTGATTTCTGGATTTGGGTTTCTTTGATTTGAACAAGAACAGACAATTCATGTCTTAAAAGGAGAGAAGAAAAGGGTACAAAGATTACTTTTGATCTGATCAGTTAAGTAAACAAAAAAATGTACTAAAAAAGCTTCCTTTTTTGGGTTTCTCTGTACAAGTTCAAATGAAAGACCTAAAAAACAGAGAAGAGGATTATATGAACAATGAAATCTGAAGAGAGAACAAAAGACAATGGGTCTTTTGGGGGATAGAATGGGTATGAACACAGATCTATTTAACTACTTCAGGATAAAGAGATTTTCCTGGAAAATTAAGGAGAGAGAGACCGAGAGACAACACAATTAAAAGCGAGAGATAAGAGTTTTAACAAGACTATGTCTCTCTCTCTCTCTCTCTCTCTCTCTCTCTCAGTCTTCGTGGAGAAACCAGAGAAAATTTGTAGATGGGAAAGGCCGAAAGGGACAAAAAGTGTTACGCTCTTTATTTTTGACAAAGAAGTGTTGTTACGCTCTTCCTTATAAAAAAAAAGATAAGGAAGAAAGAATAGAAGAAATCGCCTACGTACGGAAACAGACGTATGAAAGTATATGTGAAACAGAGAGAGATTGATGATCAAATGGAGACACAGACTTGATGACACAAGACAAGACTTTGTCATACAATTCTACACTCTGTATTAATTGTAGGGACTGATTTTGTAATTATTAGGAGTGAAGAAATAAAGTGCTATTTATATTTAAAATTCCAACTACAAGTTGATGAATTATTTTGCATATACAGTAAAACCTCTATAAATTAATACTCAATAAATTAATAATCACTATAAATTAATAATTTTTGTCAATCTCAAGTTGGGTCAGTGTAAAAATTGATAAAATTCGATAAAATAATAAAATAATACTTTTTTGAAAGTTCTATGTAAAAATATAGTCCCAATAATAATATAAATTAATAATTATATATTTAGACATATATTAATAATGTAATATAGTAAACTATGATAATATTGTTGTTTTAAGTTTATAAAATTTGTTTGATTTATCTTCTAAATTTATTATTATAACATTTTTTGAATGAAGTTTACATTGTTGAAAATATTGATTTGCTTTTTTGATGAATATTAAAAATTAAAATTAAAAATATCTCTATAAATTAATATTTTATTAATTTATTGATAAATTAATAATTATTAATTTATCGATTAATTAATAACTCTATAAATTAATAAAATTTGAGAGTCCCAACATTATTAATTTATAGAGGTTTTACTGTATGATAATTTGAGAATTTAATTTGCAAATAATTAAAGAATTAAATGAGTAATTTCGGAGATTTTTTTTCTTATAATTTGTTTTTTTTGTGTGTTTCTTAAATTTAAAGAATATTTTTCTACTAATTTTTAGCTGTATATCTACAACCGTATTAATTTTTATTGAACTTGTAAAATTTGGAATGAAATAAATTAATAAACTAATATAAATCCCAAATTCCTTTTATTTTATTTTATTTTATTTCATTATATTTTTATTGTTAAGTAACCGAATCTGTTTTTTTGTTTTTTCATTAACATGGGTAATAGCAGCCGCATCTAAAACGTCCTTGACCCGCTTCAATGCACTTGCCAGTTCCTTTATATAATTGTAGGCACAAAGCATTGCAGCCACCACCACCACCACAATCTGTTACTGATATATCCTTGCCACACAATTTTCCTTGTCCTTGAACCTCGTTTGCTATCGACCCTGTAACAAAAAACATTATTTAAAAAATGTAATCTTTTTTTTTTTTTTTACAACAAAAGAAAATCTAGTTTTATATTTGAGATGGTAGATATAATACAAACCTATGATAAGGATAATGAAGAGAGCAAAAAATATGGATTTGCTCATTTTTTCAAAAATGATAATATACAACTATTACAACAAATGGTTTTCAAAATACGGAACAATGATTGTAGAGAACAATGATTATATACATGCGCATATCATCAAAAGGATATTTTTCTGATTTTCTCATTATGTAAGTAAATTTCAGAAAATCACACACATTTAATTATATATACATGATATGATAATAATAGTAACTATATATGCATGAATCAGAGCTTTAAATGTCATATATACGTGGAGTTAAAGTTGAATACGAACAAGCAGGCTTTAAAGCACCAACCTTTTTTTTTTTTTTGATAAAAACACCAACCTTTTTTTTGGTAAAAGTGGAAGCACCAACTTGGCGTCGCTGAGATGTAAGGTGTTATTTTTCAATATGTTTTTTTTATATAAGGTCAGTGGCAATATTTTGTAGAAGCTACTGTTTTAGTAGTATACAGTACTACGTGAGTTCACTAAGATGTTTGTTTTTCAAAAAACAAGAAAATATTAAATAAATGATTTTTTTTTTAAAAACAATATTTTACCCAAAAAGACACAGTAAGAATTTTTAAATTTCGACCGGCTCTGTGCATTCACTTTCTGACTCAAATCCAAGTCTTTTTTTTTGGTTTAAATGTTATCAAATCCAAGTCTTGACTCGCCGATGGTAATAATACACTACAAACCAGTAAGTAACGTGCATGAACCTTTAGATCAAAAAAGTTATTAACCGATGCATAAAACTATGGGATAGTATATATATGCATACGTCATATATACATGCATTTAAAGTTTGCATACAATAATATAGATTAATTCAAACTTTAAATGCATGTATGTATATATGACGTATAGTAGATACATACAGTATATTTTTGGTATTTCAAGATTCTTTTACTATTATCAGCATCAAATAATATATTTTCCATATAATTTTGTTGTTATCTACAACTAACGTATGTGTATTAACATAATTCAAAGACGCCAATGGTTTTAATAAACTATAATCATGCCAAAGAAAATATGGAAAACGCGTATAAAATTTAGGCCATAATGTTTGGATGTATTTTTTCTTTTTTGTTTTCTTCGAGTTTTCCTACAACACGACAAGTCCAACAAGGCAACAATAATCGATAAAACATAGATAAGTAAACAGTTTATTCAACCCATTCGTTACATGCTTTTATTCGATACACACATTGTCCAATGCTATAATACATTACTTCGTTGAGATAATTATAGTGCATAGATTTGGTAGTGCACATCGACAAATATCGCAACCTAACTTTTGTTACTTGAAATAATAATTTAACTACTCGTCAGTAATTTGTATTTATCTTTCTCTTCTGCTCTTTAATATATAAGGGTTGTTGTTTTTCTTTAAAAGAAATAGGGATTTCTAAATCCTACAGTTTGATAATGTTGAAAATCTTTGACTATAACAAGTCCACAAGTCTCTCGTATAAAAGGTCCAAAAGAAAATTATTAAAAGCGTGTGATCATAGTCAAAACTTGCATTTATTGGATTGAGTCATATTCGTCTGTACGATATAAATTGTTGATTATAACTAGAAAGTAAGTCAATAATTCAGATGGTTAACCACGACAGCAGAATTTTAATGATTTCTTATACTTTGTCTCTAACACATCTTTTTCTCTCCGTTGTCTACACACATCTCTCTAATTGTCTCTAACACACCTTTTTCTCTCCGTTGTTTACACACATCTATTTAAGACCAATATTTCATAATAATTGAAATCGAATAAAACAAGTTAAGAAAAAATTCGAATTAATAAATCCAAAATTGCATAGATAAAAAATGAAGTCAAGATCAAATTATTTTTTAACTCAAAGAATCACTCATAGTGTGATAGGTTAATCATAATTCATGAATCCCAAAATATAATCATTTAACCTCAAATCACAACACTTGATATCAAGTTAGACGAAATTAACTCTGCAATATTCTCGAAATTAAATAACCTGATACAAACAAGGATCAGAGAAACTGTGTATTTGATATCAGATTTGATTCTACATAATAAAAAGAGAAGCTTGCGACTTGTATATGTAGGGTAGAGAAGGGACTAGGGTTTTTAGTTGAACCCGCAAAACTTGGATGGCACGTTTAGAGCGTGATTAACAAAACAGGCTAATCAATACCTGACCGACCTAATACTCTTGCGATCATATAGAGTCCAAGAGCTTTAAGAGCCAATCTAAAAATTGATCAAAGACCACATATCACGAGACTTGGCCTGGCCCGCCGGTGCGCGCGTGTGTCCTCTTCCTCTTTTAACCATTTGAACCAATGCCAATGTTAGTTCTTATATATACTATCAAAAAACTTTTCAAGTTTCTAGTGTTAGACTTTGTTAACTTTGTTAGCTTCCCACAAAGAGTTATAGCCAATGAAAACATTTTATTTGTATGGGCTACAACTCATTCTTATTCACACATACATAAATTGATAAAGTCCAACAAGTCTTTATTAATTTTGTTCCAACATTCCCCATATGAATATAATGACATCTAAGCATACGAATTTACAGACTTTATAAACTAAAAAAGACTTAACTTAGACTAGACACTAACTTGACTAGACTAGACGTATTTTTCGAGAGTATACGAAGACTAACTGTATCTGAAATAGTAGCTTCTCAGTCTTGAACCATTCATTATCGATATCTGCCAAAATTACTCAGACAAGTGATGAATTTGATGTCTTGAACCGCCCAGTTTTTTTTAATGTAAAACTAGACAACATATATAAACCATATTCGTCTTCTTGAAGAGTTAAATTCTCTATTGTGTTCATTGCGGCCTTAAACATTACCTGGTTTATCGTGAGTGAACTTGGAGAGTATAGCCTGAAACTTCATTCTCCTAGAAACGGCTCCATTTCAAACTCACTAGGTGATTGCCATGTCCCTATCACATATATAGAAGAGATTATGTTATTCTATAGACTATGGTCTCATATCATTAAAAGTCTCAATGCTTAACCATCATTACTTACAAAACAAATCACTGTTATCATCTTAAGAATCGAGCAACTTACAGTGCATATAATAGACTTTGCTTGATTTAGCTGTCCATTTGAACCAGATTTTGGGATCTCCAGTCATATAGGTTGTATATCCATCACGGCGTTATCTGTATCCATAGGCATTAAACCTATTTTTTTGATGATTTAAGAACTTGATCTCACAGCAACCTTTCTATCATGCTATTCTAAAAGGAAAATGCAGAAGAACGTGAACTTGATTGGGAACCTGCTCCTACAAAAACTGATCTCTTCAAATCGCATGAAGATCATGCTTTTGGTTGAGCATATTTGAGAAAATTTTGGTTCTTGATCATGCTTTTATATGTTTTATATGCTATTTTAATTTGTTTTTCCGTTATGTAATATATGTTTTAATTTATATTTAAAGTAATATATTTATGTTTTTATGCAATCTAGATGATTTATTAATAATATTTTGAAATTCTTTCATTTTCTATAATTTTAAAAAAATTTGACTAAATATATTTTTTTAAAACTCCATAAATTTTCTCCAATTTAGACCTCGAAATTAAAAAAGTTAATAAAACTTTTAACTTAAATAAATAATATGTTTAATGTTAAAATATATTTAAAACCCTTATGTTGGGGTTTTCCAATACAGATATTTTAAGAACAGTATATTTCTACCAATAATTTATTCTTTTTATAATAATATAATATGTTTAAAATACGTCTTTTCTACCGGAGATGCTCTAAGAACATGTGCAATGCTGAAAAACTCAAAAATAATATCTAAATTTGATATAAAATAATTAATTAATGTATAACCATTTAAAACTTGACATGTGTACTATAATATTTCTCATTTCCTTAAACCATCTCCATCGGTCGTATCTAAATTAAATACGATATTGTCTTTATAATAAAAAAATATAAAATAATGAAAAGGAAGGAGAAAGATAGAAAAAAGATATAAAAGACTATATATAGAAGGTATATAGCCAAATGTCATCATCCAATTAGTTTATTTTTTTATTAATAAAATATATTTAAGATATGTTATGTTAGAAACGAACTGATAAAGATACTCTTAAGAATCGGATCTTATAACTGCTAAATAAGAATCACTTCTTATTTTTTCTCTCATATTATTTTGTTTTATTTTATTATTTAGATACCCTTAAATTTTTGTTAAGAGCCCTGCTTTGCACATATCCTAAGGAGCCGCGAGGTGCTCCCCTTGATATTTCAGCATGCACAATAGTGTGATCAGTACGAGTTTCAAGTTGCTTCTCCCGAGGAAGCCTGAACTCATAACGCAAAATATCGACCTCTTTAGCTTACGGAGAATCTGAGCTGCTTTGAGCTTCTCCTGAAGCTCTTTACCTCCACCAATTCACGTTGCCTCTCTCGAGGGAGCCCGAGCTCAGAACGCAAAAGAACAACCGCGGTGCTCGTGTCCTCGTTGTCTGCTCCGAGATCCCTGCTGCCAGTAGCGGAGATATGACAAAATTATTTTCTAGTGTTCATTTGATTTGAGTTTAATGACCATATTTGGTTATAATGAGTCTATGATCCCATTACAAGTGTGTAGGAACTTCCATATGCCCCCGCAATTTTGCACTATATTATTTATTTATCTTAAACTTGTAAACTTAAACTATATCATAAATGTTAATAAAAAATATTAAATGTCAGGACTATCCCTTGTGACTTATCGGGAGCCAAAGCCTCGTCCACAGAAAGCGATCGTTGATGACGTAGTCCTTGGCAAGATGAGGAAAGTGCTTGCGGCCGAGGAGCCTCTCTGGTACATGAGATGATGGGCGGTGAAGCGATGATGGTAGAAGACTGGTGAGCTGCTGGTCGGGACCTGACGTGACGCGGTTGGAGGTGGTGTGGAAGACGACGTGGGTGATCTTGCAACTGGGCTTAACCCACTCTCCGATGGCCGATAGAGCCACTTCTGTCTTCAATGTAGAAACCGCATGTTCTGAGGTTATGCTGCTTGTGAACTTTAACGATCAATCCAACTCGTCAAGAGGCATGCTGCTGTAAAATGTAATTATCTATCTGACGGCGTACAAAGTAGTACAGATGCCATGTACGGCAAAATCAGGGTTCCGTGGGCCCGCCTTACAGAAGAATTTTTGAGGGCCACTCATTCATTTATTATTATTGTTTGTTAGTAATATTTCCTCTTCACTGTACTGAAGTTTTTGTGTTCACCAAAAAGTCTTGTTTAATGGAGGGGCTGGTAGAGCAAAAAATATATATAACGTGTTGGTAACATTGGATTCTTAGAATATAATACATCATTTTAGCTACAATTTGAACATTGATATAAGATTCAAAAATTTGAAATCTTTCTAAAATTTATTGATTTAAAATTTTTAATGGAAACTGACGGCAATATACAATAGTTTCCTATTGTTTTTTTTGTTGTTTTCATCAAAAGCACAAGCTAACTACTCTTGTTACTCTCAGAAAAAAAGGAATCACTAAACAACCAAATCAAAATCATAGTGGGACTCTACTTAGAGATCAACTCAAGCGAATAAGTTCAAACCAAACGTGAAAAAATAAGACTTGCACAATTGTATCGCTGCATTTATTAACAATTTCCCTTTGGGAAGGACATGTAATGATCGCTTCCGAGGAAGGATATTCTATCATCTTGAGCTCTTAATCGGTTCAAATGAACAATCTTTTGCTGTCCGAACTTATTCACCATTTGCAGTGGAACGACGCTCCACCCTACGAACCTCTTGCCGACCTGGCCGATTGATCGTTCCCGATGAACGACGCTCTATTGTCCGGACCTCTTGACGACCGGCAGTGAGTGTTCCCGAGGAAAGACGCTCCACTGTCCGGACCTCATGACGACTTGGATTGAACGTTCCTTGGGAGCGACGCTCCGTCGTCCGAACCTCTTGCCGACCTGCAGTGATCGTTCCCGAAGAAAGACGCTCTGCCGTCCGAACATCTTGACGACCGGCAGTGAGTGTTCCCGAGGAACGATGCTCCGCCGTCCTAACTTCTTGACGACCTGAAGTGATTGTTCCCGAGGAACGACGCTCCATCGTCCGAACCTCTTGACGACCTGAAGTGAGTGTTCCCGAGGAACGACGCTCCATCGTCCGGACATCTTGACGCCCTGCAGTGATTGTTCCCGAAGAACGACGCTCCGCCGTCCGAACCTCTTGGCGACCTGCAGTGATTGTTCCTGAGGAACGACGCTCCGTCGTCTGAAACTTTTCACGACCTGTTGTAGTAATCACACGCGAGGAACGATATTCTGTCGTCCGAAACTCTTGACGAGTTGCAGTGATGGACTCCGAAGAACGACGTTCCCTTGTCCAAAGCTCTTCACGACCTGAAGTGATCGCATTCGATAAACGATGTTCCGCCATCCGAAGCTGCTCAAGACCTGCGGTGATCGCTCCCAAAGAACGACTTTGCGTCAGCCGAAGCTCCTCACGGCCTAAAAATAACAAAGATATATCAAAATCTAGTATATATGATAGTTACTAAAATTTAAGATGAAAAAAATTATATGAATTAGTGGGAGCGTTCGGAAGTTCCAAAACAGATTTACAGGGATCAAAAATCAAATACTTTCACCAAAATTAAATCAAATAATATATACTAACAATAATTAGTATACTAATTTTGTAGGCGGCTCTGATCCCTTCTTACCTCCATCTCTGACGGCCCTGTTGGACATCTTATGCTCTGCAATGGTCTCGAGTGAACTCTTCTTCTGCTCTGCTCCAACCTAATTTGCTCGATCTTTACCCGATTCTTTAAGAGGGGCTATGATTATATGAAGACCCGTTTGTCCCTCTTTGCCTCCATTTTACCAAAGTCTACACATAATATCTTCATTATTAAGTATTAACAAACAAAAGAAAAGAAAGAGAAACAACTAGGTAATTTCTTGCGACATTTTTTTCCACAAGTCTTCGTCAACGTGACACGCTTAAGTTTCACAAAGTGATGTTTCATAAATAGATGAAAGTAAAATGCAATAGATATATGCAATAGATTATAATTGATCTTAATTTTTGTTTTGTATGTGACCAGTTGAAATAGTAATTACAAAATGGAGAATTAGAGTGACCTCATTTTCCTCCTTGGAGTTGTTCCAATCCGCTATGCTTTATGTGGTTGTAGACTTAGATGACTTTACATGCAAAAAAGTCTGAAAACTCATTTCTTAGATCATTCCATTTTACTTATAGTATTTATTAATGAAATATATGTCTGGAGATACTTTCCCCGTAGCCGACTAATTACTCACCAACAAGGCAACAACGATATGTCAACAACCTCTTTACGTGACATCATTACAATAATTATCATCAATGAAGTTTTTGTTAGCCTTTTACAATTCAAGTTGGATCACCTAATCATAAGTTTTGTTTTAATCTTTGTTTTCTTAACAAAGGTACACTATTACTCACAGACCAAAGTCTTCTCTTGTTATTGCCATCTTCCTCGTCCTGCATTATCCTCTATTTTTTTCTTTCTTACTATTGCCATCTTCCTGGTAGATCACAGAACATGTTGTGGGAAAAAGAAACCTCTTATATGGAGTTAGCAACTGGATAACCAAAATTGATATAAAATTCAACCAAACTCTTAACAAAAAAAATGAATTCTAAACTTTCAAAATCGAATTCTAATCCCCGAAATGATGTATTTTGTTAAACGTTGAAATAATTTACCTATTTTTGGGGGTCTTAAGACGTTTTGAGTCCAAATTGAGAAGGAGATATGCCCACTGTTAAAGCATTCGAAAATGACAGGTTTCATATAGTCTTTGTTGTAATTGTGTAAATTGATCTTTGATAAATTTGACGGGATATTCTAGTATAGCTAAAAGAACACAATTTTTTATGATAACTGATTAAACTCTCTGGGATCATCTGACATTGCGAAGGAAGAAAAAAAAAAGATTACAAAACGTAGGATAATACAGGTTCAAGTTTAACAAACGCATCAAAAGATTTTTCGTTTTTTCTTCTTCTAACCATATGCCTTTTGCTTGCTTCTAATCTGTATGTACCTGATGACAAATATAGACATGACTGCTTCTTCGCATTTCTTGATTACAATCCTTTTTTGTTTCTCTTCTGAAATCAGCAGCCATGATCTTAGATTCTTGCCTTCTTGGGATTAGTCTTCAAACCTTCCTCACGGCTTGTGTAATTTGAACCCAAATACTCTTGGAACATAGTTCTGTGTTGGCTTTGGTGGCTTGAGATGCCCATAAGTCATCAAAAACAGATGTGGAAATGTTGTCCCAAAGTAAGCTCCATCAATGTCTGTTTCTTGCTTTAAGGAAAACCAAACAAAGACCAACGACAACTGCAAAAACTATAGAAAACTCAAAAAGAGGATTGATATATGCAATAAGAATCAAACATCAGACAATCTATATTCAAAGTTCTCAGAGATTGCATTATAGATATGTATCAGCAAGAAGTGAAAAGTGTGGGAAGGGAAAAAAAAAGGATACTGCCTTGATATTTAGATCGTGGGTAATAAATGTCTTCGCATTTAGGGCAATATATCTTCACAGTGCTTGATCGAGGTAAATCCGATTGACCAACAGGAAGGCAAGGTTGGCCACAGCAATAAACTCTTGGACATCTTCCAAAGTCATAGTTTTTGTATTTGTCCAACTGCAAACAATATTATCAACAGATGGATCTTCTATAGGATGTTCAAAATATGCAAACGAGTACAAGGGTTTTTGTTGTTTTACCATTGCAGCCAAGCCTTTGCTTGTCAAAATGTAACGAGCGTGAATAAGTCCATAAAGCATCTCAGCTGCTGACTCGATCAATTCATTCTGTTCCTCTGTAAACATCTCTCCTGTTACCGACCCGATACGAATCAAACATTCTAGATAAAGGGAACCCCTAAACACTGTCTAATCTAACAACAATGCAGATTCTTTGGATGAAAAAGAAAAGTAATTTAACTTACCATGAGAAGACTCGACATCCAAGATCAAGTCAAGAGCGTACTCGTAGTACGGAACTAGACTGCCCAGTCCACACAAGTTGAAGTCATCTTGGATGTAATCATCATCAACTTCACAGAAGAACTCGTTTCCCCTCAGATTGCAGAACCAAGATATCCACGAGGTGTCTTCTCCGTCAGAGCCACTGACATCTGATTCTTCACTGTCTGTGTCTGATTCATCTGTTGCCAATAAAATCCAAATGATAAGCACACAAATAACATTTCATCGGTTACAGTTTCTTATATAAGAGTTTCAGAGACTATTATCAATGGTTTGCTTAATTCAGCTCATCAACAGAAGTTTAACATCCAATATACATCTCTGCATTAATTCACCAAGAAGAAATACCAAATTGATTCCCATATCCGGAGACACAAATAGCTAATTCTAGGTTAAGTCTCAAATCCCAGCAAAAAACAGAAAAATTCCAAATACAAAATGCGATTTCAGTAGCAGAAAACATAAAAACACGAGAGATAAAGCAAAAACGAAACTCACCGTCAGAAACATTGTTCTTAGAGAGAGAAGCAGAACGGGAATCTCTATGGTCATTCGACTGCTTCCCCGTCAAGACCGAGTGTGCCGCCGCCGTAACGGTGCCTTTACCCTTACCGTTAGCTTGACGAGACGTCGACGGAGAAGGCCGTTCAAGAGCTTCGTTGATCCGTTTACGATCCACAACCTCCGGTCTCGAACCCACCGTTCCTCTCTCTCTATACATGACTCTAAAATACCCTAAAACGAATCTCTATTCTCTCTTTAACTGGTTTTCCGATACAGCTATTGTACACCTTCACCGGCGATTCAAGCCGGTGAGATCGAGAAACGACGGCCGTACCAGGTTAAAATTGAGCTCTAGGGTTTTGAATTGGAAGCTTTTTTTCTTTTGTCGAATCTTGTTTCTCGCTTATTTCTAGAAACAAGTAGTCTGTTTGGTACAGAGAGATTTCTTTTTTTCTTTTTCTCACCGTTAGATTTTTGGTTTTATTTCCGAAACAGAATATTAAAAATAAAAATAAGGGGCAAAATGGGAAATAAAGGAATAAAGTTATAGGTTCCCGGAGACGAGGGAGGAAGTGGAGCGGTGAATCGGCAGCCACTAAGAGAAAGTGGAGAGATGGGTTTTTAGTCGAACCACCAACTTCTGGTTCGACACGTGGTGGTTTAGTACGCAACCACCGCTCGTAAACCGCCCTACGTGTGTATGTGGGACAAACTTATGATTTTGATTGCATTACAGAAACATCGTATGGACATGATTTTGATTGCATATAAAAAGGAAAGATCACAATTTAAGGCTAAACTAATCTTGGCAAAAAGAAAAAAGGTTAATTAATCCAATAATTTAATGATGACAAAATAAACACTAGTATAAACTTTATGTTGTTTAATCTTGTTAACATTTCTATTCAACCATTGTTTTTCACGTTCATGCATTATAAATCCAATTAAATACTGTTCTGCTAAAACCAATCATTACTATTTCAAATTTATATCATTTTACTCTTCCACTATTTAGCTAACCATAGTTTTCTTTGTTGAAACTAGTATCAATTTCGTAGTATACAAAGGGAAATCTCATACCTTACCTGTATCAAGTAAATTCACACTGAAAACTAATTATCATTTGATGATTACACTAACCAATCCAACTTGTACATGGAGATTTCCAGATCATCTCTCAACCAAAACCAATTCCGAAATCTTAACATGAGATATAGTTGGTGTTTGGACTTGTAATGGCATTCCCTACGAAATATGAAATCACTCTCTTTATCATAAGCTATCTTTCGTGGTATAGCTAGCTCTATATAAGCAATTTCTGTATCCATCAACATTTTTGCAGATAAAGAGGAAGAGAGGAGAGATCATATCTTACATAGACCAGGAAGTCGTATCTGACTGTGTCCATTAGTCTTCACCAAAGTACTTATCTTCAGCGTCAAGGCCAATCTCTCGAAGCCAATGATCATCAAGAGTCTCGTCACTGTCTATCTTTGTGTAATCCAAATGCTGATGATCTTCTCCCGACAAGAACTTCTGTTGCATGATTGACGTGAACTGATCCATCATATCTTGCATCTCCTCTGGCGGTAAGACTGTTGCCTTATCGTTCTGTTCTCCATTACTCGATGTTCCGTTGATGTCCATGGCTACAGTAGCCTGAAATTAATCAAGAAGCTAAAATGTAAAAAAGGATTTTCCACCACAATTAAGTAAAACAAATCTAAAACGAGAGATTCATGATCTTAAAACCGACATACACAGCAAGATAAAAAAAAAAAAGTTACCTCTTCAAGGCTTGAGCTAGCTTCTGTTGGCTTTTTCGCTTCTTCGTCATCCTCTGATTCCACTTCTTCTTCTTCTTCTTCTGATTCCTCCACCACCTCATTACCAACCCAATCACTCTCTGCAACACCTAACCTCTGCTGCTCCTCTCTGATCCGAGAAACCAGCGTAGCCTCCTCTCCCCGTCTCATCAATGTCTCTGACCAACGTTCTCCAGGCCTAGCCATGTTCCTACCCATCAAATCCTGAAACTTCCCCACGTACTCGTGGTGTAGATACGGCTCTCTATCTCTCATAGAATCCTCAGAGAAATATTGTCCTTCTGATACAAGCTTCTTCAAGTAAGCAAGTCTCCTATTCCTCACAGCTATAGACCTCGATTTCAGCTCTTCTGAGGTCGGACTTATCTTCTTCCGCAGGTTTTTCAAGTGCCAATCAACCTCGTAGTCATGTTTCAAAGCATCAAACTCGAGCAATTCATCTACACTCAGCTGCGATCCATAACGCTCTGAAATCAAATAAAAAAACTAAGTCTCAGTTCCGAGATCAAAAACTGCAATCGTCTAAAAAACGCATTACAGACTCAATACATAGATAAATAAGAAGCCAATACTAATCTATTCATAAAATTTCACACCGCCATTACGAAATAGGTGTAAGAATCGGTAGTTTCACCAGTATTCTAAAGCATCATCTACACTCAAGCAATTCATCTACACTCAACAGAGATCCATAGCGCTCTGAGTCAAAGCAAATAACTAAGTTTGAGTTCCGAAATCAAAACTTTGATAGGGTTTTTTCAGTTAAAAATCGCACAACAAACTCAATACTAAGATGACCTAAGAAGACAATTTCATAATATCCAGCACCGATATGGAAAAAAATCCGTAGTAGAATCGAGAAATTGACCAGGATTATGGAAATACCAAGGAAAACGGCGGGATCACGACGGAGGAGGTCTAGGAGGATGGATTTGCGTTGGTCGAAAGATGCAGCAGTTGGTTGAACAGCGCGTGGAAAGTAGAGATCGTCGAGAGAGGAAAGCCTTGTCGCGATTTCTTCCGCCGCCGCGTCTTCCACTGCTCTTCCCTCCATCTTCTTCTCTCCCGTTGCTTCTCTCCCCTCGACCGAAATCTATATAGTAAACTGTTAATCTTCGCGCTCACGTGCTGGTCTCGTGAGAAGACTCTGGCGGTGTTAATTTGGTACCTAAAAGATAAGGCCCGTTGGGCTTTCTCGGTCGTATCTTATTTGTGTGTATCACAAATTTTGTAACCGGTGGAAGATCCGGTTTACGGTTTAATGTTTGACTTTTTATCTCAAAGAAGTTCAACAAAAGGGTATACAAGTCACACAAACCCAAATACTGAACTCATCATAAGTCATAAAAGTCATAAATTGATTTTAAGCATTTCGCTAATGGTTCTTTCAGTCACTGTTGTTATTTTCCACCTTTCAAGATCCTATTACACGAAGTCACGAACAGAAATTATATAGAAATGAGACTTTGTATTAGAATTTTTTCGTAGAACTACAACTTAATATTAAAAACTGTTGGAAGAAATAATAACCAAGAGGAATCCATTTCATTGAAATTGAACCCCGGAAACGAATAATTCCAAGGGAATAAGTTCTCTACATAACACTGTTACAATCGGTCTTGTTCTTGGTCCAACCTACAACTTGGTCTCTATAAACCCAACTTGTTTCTTCACGTCGCAATCTCATCCACTTCCGAGTTAAAGACAAAACTCGGAAAAGTCGTCGTTATGTCCCTGCAGTTGGATGATATTAACTCCTCAAAATTATAAATCGGCACCAAGATTAATCAAGTGTAAATAGTTTTATTGTAAAAGAAACATACCTCAGATATGGAAGAGTCATGATTTTAAGCAAAGATGGGTTTTTGATCACGAAATCGCTCCATTCTGTCTTACCAATCTTTCCATCCCGATCCACATCTGCGTCCTCAAATGTCTGTTCACGAAAACGAAAAGGACCCCGAGTTTTATAAAAAGAGTCTTTGCTTTCGTTAGAAGTAGAAGATGTGATAAACAAGAAACCTGATCGAGTATAACTTCTATGGTATCATCAGCTAGTTTCATTTCAGATTCGCAGAGGAGGGCAATCAACATTTGCTTCACCTGCCAAAATTACAACACACGATTATAGTTTTCCCCGAAGGGTTTATTCAGTAAATGATGCAGAATCAAGAACATAATTTAGTAGTGAAAACATGTTTGAAACGTAACACGTTGAAACATAGATTGAGAAGTGTATACCTCGTGGCGCTCAATGAAGCCCGTGCAGTCCATGTCGTAAAGCCTAAACGTGACTGTGATATATAAAAACAGACACATTTGAATAAAAATCATGGGAATGCTTTACAGAAACGACGATCGATATAAACTCGTTTCAGGCCTCAACTTACAGTCTGTTTTCTCCTCTAGAGAAGCATTAGGGTGGAATACATTGAGTGATCTCACAAAATCCCCAAAATCAATGACGCCTTTTCTTTTAACATCAAACAAATCAAATATCTGCATAAGAGGGTGTTAACGTTAAGGAATTTTATAGAACCACTCTTTAAGATGAACTACAAAGTCATAGAGGTCTGAGAAACTTAAGAATTACCCTATTGGCAAACAAATTTTCCTTCTTTTTGTTCTTGAACAAAGCAAGTTGAAACTCTTCCTGCATTACAAGTTGGTCGAGAAATAAGTAACAATATCCAAAAGTGGGGCCATGAAAACTTCAATTTTCAAAATCACACCAATTAAAAAAAAAGTTGTACAATTCAAGTCAACTGTCAATAAAAAGACTTGGTGAGCAATAAGGAACCCACAGATCAGCATGGAGATTCAATTATTACCTAATAATAAATTGGCCAAAGTCAACAAAGTTGACAACTATTATGGAAAATGGATAATAGTGGATTGAATATTATGTCACTGTACATCAAAGCATTCAAGATCCTGCCATGAGTTGCAAACGAATCAAAGGCTATATCAATTATCAGTACCTTGTTTATCAAGCCATCGTCAACAACCGAGCTGCTTATGCTCTTGAATAACTCGAACAATGCTTCAACTTCACTCACACTAACTGGAAAAACAAAGAAACAACAAGCCAACGGTGCTAGATCAAAAATACAGATCTAATCAATTTGAAAAAAAAATGTATGTGGAAATAAAGAATGCAAATGAGACGCTTCTTGAGGATTCAAGAGGAATCCCAGACTGTTGATCCAAGAAACTATTGGATTAGGATTATCAGTTATGTGATGAGTCAAGTCACAACAAGCATCTTCAAAATAGAGATAAAATTAACTTCAACTAAGTTGCAGGGAAAGACTATGAACAAAAGACTGTTTTTTCAGATATTTGCGGGACTCAATGAATGACCAAAACAGATTAAATGAGTTTCATAGAATTCTCAAATCAGAAGGCAACGAAAAAAGAAAGATTTATAAGATCATGCTTTTTGGAGATTTTAAGCTAAGAAGAAGAAAACGTGTAGTGCAAGTTAACTTACAAGCTGTCTCGGAGGCTAGCTTCACAGGGTTCTCGTGTCCCGGAAATTCTCTCGCAGCCGTGGAATGAAAACAGCCCATTTACAGATGAGAAGTAAAACGAGAAGAAGAAGAAGAAGCTTATTCGATTAATAAAAATGGCTAATTCAACGATTTCTGACACTGTAAAGCTTGATTGCTGATACTGGTTCCCATTATCATAAGCATCTTTAGAATCTACACATATCCAAGAGAAACACAAAACCCAAAAAAGTTTAGATTCAAAAAAATGAACACGATAATAATCAAAGTATAAACCCTACGAGAAAAAAAAAAGTAGCAGCGATGCGAGAACAGATATACAGAGTTACTCGAATTTCGTGAAAATGAGTTTAACCAGATTGACACAATTTTGAAATTAATCGGAAAAATCTAACAGGTAATGTAGGCGCAGCTCGAGAAATCAAACAGTACGATCGGAAAACAAACCGTGACGAAATCGAATTTAGTACTTACCACCGAGAGAACGGCTCGCCGGCTCGGTGAGAGAGGAAGGGAATTCGGAGAACGAGAGAGACGACGAAGATCTGTGACGAAGGCAGATGAATGATCGGACGGCTGAGATTAACTGTGCATATCACAGACTTTGCTGGGCTTTTTGTTTGTTCAGAGGGGCCGATGGAGAGAAATTATGAGAGTTTATAAGATGACATTTGCACGTGTGAACGCTTGAACGCGTGCCAAACACCAACCTTTGTATTTTATCTTCTTTTTTCCAACCAAACCTATTTTTATTTAATTTTTACAGTGTCGAAAAAATAGCCATAATTACTGTTTAGTTTTGAAGACATTTTCTTACTCTGAAACTTTATCTAAAAAAAAAAAAAATTTACTTCATTATGTTTTGTTTTACAAGTTTCTTAATCTTTGGTAATGATGTTGATTTTTTTTTACATTAGTTTAATCCAAAAAAATTGGAGGCGAGATCTTCCTAGATTGACAAGAACAAGCATAAACTTTGGTTTCTAAAACTTCTTTCCTTTGAATATTAATCAACGATAAAAAAAGTTATTTATACTCTTGTATCTATGAAATTACATTCAAACTGTGTTATTTCATAGCTGTGAAGTATATTCGATAAAACTTAAAGATACAAAGAAGATAGAAGCATAATTCGTATTTCGTATGCAAGGATGACACACACAAACAAAATAAAATGAATCAAGTTTTTTAAACTGTGAATTTTTTAAATCAATTTATAGTTGCAGATTCAAGATTCTTCGTAATCTACAGAATACCACGGTTTATATATTTATGCTAGTAATATTTTCAATTTGGTTATTTCGTTTTCAAAATCAATACTGATGTCCCATAGAATTCAAAATCTATATGAAGCAAGGCGATTTGCCGTATAAATATATTCAAGAATCATGGGTCATATACCTTTTGGGATAAATGAAGAATTAGAATATTTTTGGTCACAACTTAATGGTCTAAGTCACGTACGTACGCCAACAATCCAATAATATAAGTTAATTACATAATATCGGTCTAGATAAGAAAATAGATTAGCATCATTGATCATCCATATCCATAAGACATGAATATATATTCAGATCACGCATGTTATTTAAATTTGAAACTGGGATCCTGTCTCTCCTAAAATGTTATAGTTTATTCGAAACAGGATAACGTCTCTGAATTACAAATTTTCCCACAAGCATGAAGGTTTACGTAAAAGATGATTCGAGATGACAGCGTTTTAATTTGGAACAGCAAGCAATTTGGTTTCCCTATTTCATTTCATTCATTAATTTTTATGCTAAGATGTGAGCCTTATTTGTAAATAACAATTTCTTTCTCATTTTATCAATTAATTTGACATTTCTTCAAAAAAAAAAGAAGCTATAGTTTACCACCTAAATAAAAACCTTATATCAGGAGGGAAGATGCTTAATTGGGTTTGGGGAGAAGATGTTCAGAAAGTCTAAGTCATTAGAAAGGTAACACTGAGTTAGCACCTGCATTGGCTAGCTTTGCTCGGTTATCTTGCTATAGGGTTGGGTTGAATATCTAGAGAGAAACAGAAACAAATTTCTGATTTTTGTGAGACCCAAAATCTATCTTCTCAAATAACATCTACAATCTTTTTTTTAACATCTACATCTACTATCTTCATCGACGATCAAATAAGTTATTTATACTCTTATATCTATGAAATTACTTTTTCTAGGTGGGTATCTGCGGTACATGTACACCACATATGTTTTCTATTCATATTTTTGTTTTCTTTTGTGTAGTGTCATGTTTTGATCGATGTATTTTCTAACTACTCTTTTGTTTTCAAGATAATGTTATAGAAGAAAGACAAACCATTGGAATTCTGAAATGTTAATGAGGTCCCTCAATTTTAATCTTTGCTCAAACAACATTGTAACGTTCATATAGGACGCATGAGCCTACAAAGCAGGAGGATCTGTAGATATATAATTACACTACATATACATTTTCAACAACAAGTACACTCAGCGGATGTATATTTTTTTTTATATATGTAGGAAAGTTTCAGAATAACTTAATTTAGATCCTAAATAGTTGTTGAGGATTGAATATGTGGTCCAATATACTATAAACTATTATACGAGAAATGCATCAAAGTTCATAGCAACGTACGATAAAACAAATAGCGAGAAATTACCTATAATATTGTTTTGTAAATTCTATAAAACTCTATGCTACTACACAAAACCATTTTTCTAAATATAAACAAAAATCGCTTCAAGTACTTTCTTGGCGCAGCGATGGGATCGTAAACCTTCCGTCGTAGGTTTCTTTTCTCAAAATTTTGACTTCCTTCATATTCATGGACGAAAATCAGCCTTAACAAAGTTGTGATGTTATCCTTGTAAACATTCTAATCAGTTGGCTTTCCATCCAAGGTTTCTTAGAGCTCAAGTAAACTCCTTGACCTTAAACAAACCAAAGCATCTTTGGTAAGTCTTTTAGTTAGCATATATAATGATACTTTCAACTGCATGGGCACCATTTGATAATTTGATTTGTCCTGGTTAAACTTCCTCACACAAATGGTTGAACATTGATGAAGTCAGAGGCACAAAACAATCTTCTCTCTAAATTTTTTTAAAAAATATATATCGAAACTTAAAGGTTCTCACTTGTTAGGTCTAACCAGAGCAGGAGAGCACGTTCATGCTGGTACTCTGGTTTCTCACGTTTTGTCAGCTTGAGTTACTCGTCAAACTGAGCATTTCATCACGTTCTGGCAAGATCGCAATTTAATAGTTGAGGTAAACTGAAAAACCAAAGACTAAAGACATACACAAAATCTGTAAAGCCACAATCTAGAGAAACCCAAAGTAATAAAATTATAAACGTTACTTTATCTACGTAAAACAATATGAAATTTAAATCTTTTATTATGGGAGCCATGTTAGTAACTAGATAATTGGTGTTTTTTTTTATATAAAAAAAGTTCATTTCAAGAGTCAATGGAAGAGATCTGGTTTACAAGTGAAGGACAATCCTTAGTTTCTCTACATTTTCTTTGGGACTACTTCATAGAGAGAGTTTTAAAAGCCAGAATATTACAATCTCGAAATCAGTAATACGATAAAGAAATCATCTTGGGACTTTTCACTGATCACAAACATCACATAAGAAAGGGAAACAAAAGCGAGAGAGGTCTGTTCACTTGTCTGAATCTGGCTCTTTCCATGCCGCTTGCCATTGCTTGTCATATAACGTCGTCTCTTCGAACAGACCCTTGAGTTTGTCTAAATCTTCGTTCTTGCGGATGAAAAGAACTCCGAGCACAGCCACGAACAAGAGCGTTTTGCAGAAGAAGTTTCCCATTTGGTCCACAAGTCCTACTCCGGTAAGGCTATCCACAAAGTAAGCCATGAAGAACCCTATCATCGCAGCACGACCTGCAAGACAAACCCAACAAAATGAAACCCATGTTTAGTTGCAAGGTACACACGATCTGGATCTTTAGCATATTGAAGTTTTAAGAAATTAGTGTTTTTGGAAGATCACCATTGAGGAGCTCAGCTTCAGGTAGATGGTATCTCTTCATCCAAGCCCACCATGGAATAATCGAGGTATCGAAGAGTACAGGCTCGTCGTTAGTAGTTGTCTCTGGGTTATCTTCAAGCCATTTTCTCCTCTTTGCCTCTGTAAATACAGAATCAGCACACTACACAACAAATCACTCATCTTCTTATACACTATCAGAAACCAAATCAGAAGCTTTCTGTATATCCTAGGGTTATGACATTTGTAAGTTGATTAGGGATTTCTAAACCCTAATTCATAACTGTTAATTGTAACAAGAGTGAGGAAATGAAATGAAATTCGAGTTCAAAGGATCTAACCAGCAACGATTACAGAATCCCAATCTGTTTTCCCCTCTTTCTCGAACTGTTTCAGATCCCAAGTCCCATTAACCCACTTCGCATCCTGGAATTTGATTACCGTCGTAGTGGCCAGATCAGCCTCTTCGCCACCGACGGCGCCGTTTTTGGAGGCGGAGGAGCTCTCCGCCGGAGATTTTACCGTAGCTTTCTCTGCAACGACCTTCGGAATCTCCACGGTGGTTGTAGAGGCTGAAGCCGACGCGGGTGTGGTCGTACCGTTGTCGGAGGAGGCTCGAGTGACGGAGACGAGAGAGAAGCGCTTGGTGGAGAGGAGAGAGACTGAGATCTTGGGAATGAGATTAGGGTTTTGAAGTGACGATGAGATCGGCGGGGAGAATAACGCCATGGATATGGACATTTGTTTGCTTACTCTCTCTCTCTCCTCTGCTCAGTTTTTTCAGAGTTAGTTTGAATGTGTGGTTTCAGATGAGCGAGCTTTGAAGGAAGTGAAAGAGATGTTATCGTTAATACAATGGAATGTATGTCGTTTTCGTTTAAAGAAACTACGTGACGTTTTTCTGTTCCAATAAAAACGATGTTATCAATGGGCTTTATATATGAATTACAAGCCCATTTCAATTTAACCTTCGGCCAGCCCAAGGAAAAACAGAAAAAGCCATACATAAATCAATAACTCGAACAATGATTTACGAATTTTCTCGAATTGACTGGAAGATTTGAGTAAGTCTTCGTCAAATTTCAATACTAGAATAAGATGAGGAATAGTATATGTAAATAAAGAAAGTGATTAGGAAGTTGTCTTCTCAAAAAGCTGTTATCCAAATAAACAAAATGCTGCTTATCATATAGGATTTATAACATTGACATAAGAATAATTTGTAAGCTTGAAAAGTCTTGACGTGGCATTGCAAGTGAGAAAAATACCATAACGAAAGAAATATTCCACGTGGACATTTCTTATTGGTTCTATGACGACCGGGATGTATCTGATTTGCTTCGCGGCAAAGTTTCAACTCAATGCGACGACCTTCCTCAATGTGTCGAGAAGTTTCCGGAGCTGCCCTCCCCCTTGTTAGTGCCCCTACACGTGTAGCGAAAAGGTAATTATACCAAAGGAAGAAGGGCATTGTTGTCAAACTCTCTCCATTCTTAAGGCTCTATAAATACCGAAAGTAATCTTTTTTCCAGCAATATTTTTATCATCTCGTGATTTTACGCTTGTAATTTTCTCTCTCGAGCAAAAGAATCCCAATCATGGATGCGTTCTCTTCCTTCTTCGATTCTCAACCCGGTGGCAGAAGCTGGAGCTATGATTCTCTCAAGAACTTCCGTCAAATTTCTCCGGCCGTCCAAAATCATCTTAAGCGGGTAACTCCTTCTCGCACAAAACCGTTGTTTCTTGATAAGAGACGATTCCGATACGATTGATTTGAGTTTTGTTTCGTTCTCGTGGTATTGATCGCTCTGATTGACTCGATTGCATCTCAATTTCATGTGTTTGGTTTTCGATTACGTGTTATCGAACGAAGCGTTGCGATTGTGCTTCCCATACATTTCTAGGGTTTCTAATTACGTCAGTTTTTAGTTTCTGTGGATGATGAAGTTGGTGAGGTAGATAAGTGAGAGAGGGTGTTAGTTGGTACATATCAAGATACTACACTTCTGTCATTATTACTTTGCTCTGCTTGTAATGGTTAATGTGAGAAGGATCGTCTTTTTCGTCTGGTATGTGGTCTCAGTGATCCGGTTTCTTATATTTTCTGGTGGTATTTGCAGGTTTATCTCACCTTGTGCTGTGCACTTGTTGCGGCTGCCTTTGGAGCTTACCTCCACGTTCTCTGGAATATCGGTGGGATTCTCACAACGATTGGATCCATTGGAAGCATGATTTGGCTGCTTTCATGTCCTCCTTATGAACAAGTACGCGGTTTATTTTTCCTGGTCTCTTAAGGTTGTGCGTCTCCTTGTTGTATATTAGTCCTGTGTTCCTGAGACATTGTTGTTTCTTGCGATGCAGCAAAAGAGGCTTTCTCTTCTATTTCTGTCTGCTGTTCTTCAAGGTGCTTCAGTTGGCCCGTTGGTTAAAGTGGCAGTCGATGTTGACCCGAGGTTTGTTTGATGTTATTGATCATATCTTGTATGTAGCACTCGGCGAGAAAAATGTGTTCACGTTATGAATTATGTGCTAGACTTTCCTAAGAGCTGACATTTGTTTATCTTTCTTTTGTTACTCTAGCATCCTCATCACTGCGTTTGTCGGAACTGCGATAGCGTTTGTCTGTTTCTCAGCAGCAGCGATGCTGGCAAGACGCAGAGAGTATCTCTACCTTGGAGGTCTGCTTTCATCTGGCTTGTCCATGCTAATGTGGCTTCAGTTCGCCTCTTCGATCTTTGGTGGCTCTGCGTCTATCTTCAAGTTTGAGGTAAGCCAAATGCTTCTCTGTGTAATGATGTGCTCCTTTCTCTGGTTCATCGTCTTTCTCAAATTCCTCATGGTTTGTTTGGATCTGTCTGAGTGCAGCTCTACTTTGGACTCTTGATCTTTGTGGGATACATGGTGGTGGACACACAAGAGATTATAGAGAAAGCCCACCTCGGTGACATGGACTATGTGAAACATTCGTTGACCCTCTTCACTGATTTCGTAGCTGTGTTTGTTCGTATTCTCATCATAATGGTAAGTTCATTTGTCGTTGATGTTTTAGTAATTGTGCTGTATCTGTAAATAAACCTCCACTGATGAGTTGTGTTGTTGTACAGTTAAAAAACTCGGCAGACAAAGAAGAGAAGAAGAAGAAAAGAAGAAACTGAGCCCCAAAAGCGAAGAAGAAAAGCGTATTATAGAGTGAGGGTTATATATATATACGTTAACGCTTTGGTGTTTTGACTCGTTAGGACACACTGTTGGTAACAACAGATGTTACGTGATTTGCTTGTTCCTCTTAATGCATAAGAACTGCCTTCACATTGTAAATGATTTTCAAGTGTTTTTCGTTGTTCTTTTCAATATCTTTGAGATCTTTCGTAATCCTCACATGTTTACGGTTTTGGTTCTGCTTTTTTAAACTTCAATTCACTGTGAGTCGAGGATGAAAAGCCCCGAAAGTAATCAAGTACAAATCCTTGAACCTAAGTCCTAAGTCTTTTTTTTAGGTAGTTCAGAATCTCTTGTTGTCTACAAATATTAACTTCGTGTCTAAAAATCTGGCTAAATATTGAAATCTGTCACTGGAGGATTACAAAGAAATAAAGACCATACAAGCCAGGGCTAAATCAGTGGTTGTTTCTTCTCTGGTGTTAACAAAAAGTAGGAAAAGTGAAAAAATTATAGAACCGGATTCTCTAATTTGTTTAAGGTAGCAAGTATGATTCAAACGGGAAATTTTCATCTACAGGACTTACATACGACGAAACGAATCTAATCACGATTGATAATAAGTGGTACCAGAATCACCTCTGGTTGGAGACTTGAAGTAAATGAAACACCAAATGAAAAAACATATACTAATTTCAATTCTTCTTTTCTTCTTGGAGGTGATAAAAAGAATAAATGAGCTCGGGCCTATTATTTAAGTTGAACTTTTTGTTTAATTGTTGTCATTTTGTGGTGTAGTGGTTGTTGTGTTTTTATTAGCATGAATGTGAATTGTAAGCAGATCATCATCATTTGATATACTTTAATTTTTATTTAAGCACTACTCGTGCATTACCTTTTGCATTTTTAACCTTATCTCTCATCCATTAGTTCCATCGCCTCGTCTCCACCGTCCGATTCTATGATCACTACTACATTATCTATCCCAACAAAAATTTCGTAAAATAATTAGCACGCAGTTCCAGTTATAGTTATAGGGTTTGAATGGCTTTTCACGTTTTGGAAATTTTATTATGTTATTTTTTACTATTCATGTTATTCATAACGTTTTCATGTTTTTTTTATATTTTTGAAACGTGATTCTGCTAGTGTATTAAAAATATAATTAAAAAAACAAAACATAATTAATCTATTAAATATAGCTTTTCAGCGTTTCACAATTATTCAGCTAAAATATTATTCAGTTCAGTTCATTCCGCTAGTAATTTTTTAATTATTCCGATATTCTGTTATTCATCTGACATACCAATCAGACCCATAGTCTCACGAGTTTTTTTGCCGTCTCGTTACTTTTTCTACTCTTGTAACTTCAACAAGATACAGACATTGCAGAAATAAAAATTATGATAACTAAAAAGATTGAAATATACTTGATTTTTTAGTGTTTTATGTTATCATTTTGCTAATAGCAGTTTAGCATATTCTTATTTACTAAATTACAAAATAATTATAGTAATTATCCCGTAGTAAACCCCAAGTCCATTAGCCAGTATTTTTTAATTGCGTTTGCAAAATTATTTGACGTTGTACTTAAATAATTATATTGTTTTCTTTTATATATCTCTCTTAGGAAAGTACTATTATTTGATTGAGACTCCACATTGTTTTTGGAGTTACGTAACAATAATACTATTTTCTGCAATTTGCTTTTCCCTTGAAATGAAAAACCTAATTTTCGATATATCTCATCGTAACATGTTATAACTTCACCAAACCTCAGAATTTTGTGGATCTTGATCATGGATGATTGCATATTAATTAAAAAAGGTATACTTATAGTTAACTTAGTGGGAATAGTATAATACGCGTAGACACCGAGTAATGTACCCAAATTAGCTTTAACAAAAAAAGATGTACCCAAATTAGTTCACTAATCACATTCACGAAACGAAAGAAGTGGGGCCCATCATTACAATTACTTTAACCAAATCAAACGGTGCAGAAGAGAGAGTTGTGTCCATGATCGTCCGTCGTCATTACAGCCGGTGACTTCACAAACCTTTTATTTTATTTTGTTTGATATTCAGAATCCATTAATAATTGTAAATATTAATTTACCAACGTCATGCCATCACATTCTTTGGAATAAGTAACCTAATCTTATAAACGAGTCTTATCTTTTTTTTTTTGTAGACAATCAATTATTTACATCAATATCTACAGTTCTAAATTTAAAAGTGAAAAAAAATCTTGTTGAATTCATTCTTTCCATCTTGGCTTTTAAAAAAAAATCTATTTCTTTCTTGGTTTAACACTTGAAGCCTTATATAGAAAAAATTTATTTGTGATAAAGTATTAGATAAAATATACCTACCTAATGTAAACTGGAGAAATGAGATTGACCAGTAGAAGAAAGCTTAGTGTAATTGGTTATTAGCAGAATGAAACCATTTATCTTTTCAATATAATGTTGTAAAAATGCAACTGTAGTAATAGTATAAATTTTCACCAGTAGAATTTGTTTTAATTAGGAAAAGCTTAAATTCAAGTAATTAGTATTTTTATCTAATCTAAGATTCTACTATTATCTACATTTTTTTCTTATGACTAATATTAGTGTTGTCAATATGAAATATTGATTATCCTCGTTGGAATATCAAAAGAAAAAACAAACAAGAAAAAAAGTCTATAGTCAACAAGAAGGAACCATAAGGCACAAGCAATGATATTCCTCCAGCCATCATCGTCACTTTCTAACCATTAGAGGTTTCTCTCTACATTATTGAGATTAGATAAATTATTTTATTATATTTTTGTAAAGAAAAGCTTCAATATATATTCCGTTCATGACGTTTGGTGCGTTTTAGACGCAAAGAACACACATTCAATAACTAAAATTAGTTAATTGTTGTATGTCATTTTTAATTTATTATTTAATACTCTAACCATTAAAGATCTTTCTATAAAATAAAGTAAGATGAGATCACTTACTCATTTGTTTTTCTAAAGCTTGAATAAAAAAGAAAAGTTTTTTTATGTATTTATTTTGGTGTATATTTTTAAAAAGATCTGTTAATAGTTAATTGTATGACATTTTAATTTACTATTCAATATCTAACCATATTTGGTAAAGTTGGACCAAATGTTTCACCATAGCCATTTACATTTTACACACTGAAAATCAAAATTAAAATGTCATTTAAAGTAAGTAATTGAAAAATCTCAGAGTAAGTAATACATTAAAGTTAAAATTAAAAGTTTGAGTAAAAGCATAATAATATAAAAAAGCTTAGTAAAGAGAGGAGGAAGCTGAAATATTAGCTTCATATACAAAAGAGCCATTTTACATTCACAATCACTCTCCTCTCTCTCTCTCTAACCTCACCACTTTCTCTCTCTTTCCCTTTTTCACAGCCATTTGTTAGATTCCTCTCTCTATTTTCTATTGGATTGTGTATTAGACTGATTAGCTCAAGGAACCGAAAAGGAAAACAAAATCTCTGAATTTTTCTCTTCCGTTGTTTCGATTTCTAATTTTTCTGGGCTGTTCTTGTTTTCCTCCGTCTTTTAATTTCCAGAATTTTCTCAGAAGAAGGTTTTTTACTCTTTTTTTGGGTTTTTATTTATTGGCTTTTTTTCTGCAGAAAAAAACCCTTTTCCTGGGTTTTTCTTCGCAGAGAAGCTTCTCAATACCCAGTTTTTGTATAGCTCAATAATAAACAAAACCAATAATCATAAAACTCAGTTTCTCTTATTCTCGTGAAATTATATATTAATTTATAAGGAAAAAAAACAAAAAGATGGGGAAGCAAGGGCCTTGCTATCACTGTGGAGTTACAAGTGAGTTCTTGTTTTCTCCAAATTTCGATTTGATTTCTGAGAAAAATTGGCTCCTACGTTTGAGCTGATTACAGGTTGTTTGAATAAAACTATTTGAAGAACATTGCTTCAACTGATAATGCAACATGAACAACAAACATTGATCATATGAAATGATTTGGTTGTGTCTGTGTTCATGACTTTAAAGCACACGTTGTGGGTCCTTTGCTGCTTTGATCACTCTTATTGAGCTTTGAATGTTATGTTTTGTTATCTCAAATGTGCAGTGAAGTCAAATGGTTTTTGACAAATTTGGATCTTAGTCTGTCTCTAAAATGCTGTGTTTGATCTTGAGAGATCATTGTTCTTTCTGCTTATGAAATGCCTGAAATATGCTTAATCTTTGACATTTGTTTGATTCAGGCACACCTCTATGGAGAAACGGGCCACCAGAGAAGCCTGTGCTGTGCAATGCGTGTGGTTCGAGATGGAGAACGAAGGGAACACTAGTGAACTACACACCTCTCCATTCTCGTGCTGAAGGTGATGAGATTGAGATTGAGGAACACAGAGCTCAAAGGATGATGATCAAGGGAATGTCCCTGAACAAAAAGATCCTCAAGAGGAAGTCATATCAAGAAAACTTCACAGTGAAAAGAGCCAACTTGGAATTCAACAACGGCTTCAAGAAGAGGGCTTTGGAAGAAGAAGCTAGCAATAGATCGAGCTCAGGATCGGTTGTGTCGAACTCGGAGAGCTGTGATCAATCCAATGCGTGGGAAACGACTTTCCCTTGCAAGAGGAGGACATGCGTGGGGCGTCCAAAGGCGGCTTCCTCCGTTGAGAAGCTCACTAAGGATCTGTATAGTATCTTACAGGAGCAACAGTCTTCTTGTCTCTCTGGTTCTTCGGAGGAGGACTTGCTTTTCGAGAACGAGTCACCGATGGTGATAGGACATGGGAGTGTTCTTATGAGAGATCCTCACTCGGGTGCTCGAGATGAGGAATCTGAAGCTAGCTCGCTCTTGGTTGAGAGAAGCAAGTCCTCATCGATACGTTCTATTAAATTTGGTGGAAAAGCAATAAAGCAGGAGCAACTCAAGAGGTAAAAATAACTTTGTCAAACTCTTCTTGACAAGAAAGATTAGAGATTTGCTTTTGGAGATTCTGATTTCAGTAAGCATTAATGCAGGACCAAATCTCAAACCTTGGGAAGACATAGTAGTGTACCACTCTGTAACATAGATTTGAAGGTAAAACTCATTTGCAACTCCCAACTATTTTGTGTCTCTAAAAGAAAAATATGAATTGCCTTACGATGGAGGAGAATCTTTCTGCAGGATGTTTTCAACTTTGATGAGTTTGTAGAAAAATTCACAGAGGAAGAACAGCAGAAACTGATGAAATTAGTTCCTGAAGTTGACTCTGTTGATCTTCCTAATAGGTTTTTAACTCGATTCAACTAATTATTTACAGATTTGTTTCAGCTGCTACTTCGAGTTCTTATACTTCTTGTTTTTTTTCTTTTTGCCAGCCTCAGAAGCATGTTTGAGAGTTCTCAATTCAAAGAGAACTTCTCCTTGTTTCAGCAACTTGTGGCAGATGGTGTTTTTCAGACATCTTCTTCCTCTGGATCAAAACTTGAAGACGTTAAGACACTTGCGAAGCTTGCTTTATCCGATCCTAACAAATCACATTTGCTGGAAAGCTATTACATGCTCAAGGTTTTCGACCATATACTCTTCTTGAAACAAATAGTTTCTATACTTGGCTTTTTTTGTTCACTTAAAATCTTTTGCTTCAGGAAAAAAGAAAAGGCATTGAAGACTCTGTTACTGCAACATCAAGGGTCTCAAACCCGAATCTATCGAAAAATAATAGTCTTGTAACCATTGAAAGACCCTGTGAAAGCTTAAACCAAAACTTCTCAGGTCAATTCAAGATTCTTGAACAATGTCAATCCATACCTTTCCGCAACAAAATTATGTCCGTTTCTGATTGTTTTGAGTTTTGCATTCTCCAGAGACAAGGGTTGTGATGAGGAGTCCCAAAGAGGTGATGAAGATTAGATCAAACCACGTTAAAACCGAAGAGATTGTTGAGAACAGTGTCTCTTCCTTCAACCCTATGAGCTATGGTGGTTCTATGGCGTTTAGCTACGAAGATAATGATATCTCTGATCAGGATCTTCTTCTTGATGTGCCGCCTAATGGATCATTCCCTCAAGCAGAGCTTCTTCACATGATATGAGAGAAGATAAAGTTTCTCAAACTCATTGGTGTTTCTCAGAACAAAGACTTTTATAAAGATCTCTCTCTATATCTCTCTAATGATTGAAGAGAAAACTGTTTTTATCTGAGAAAATTTGGCCAAATGAGATTTTGCTGCAATAGAAATTGCAATATGCAGATATGAAAAAGAAAGGATTTTTATGTAAGGGCTCTCTTTGGTGGTATTATATATATATATATATATATTGATATATATATACTTTTGTTCTTACTAAACTCGAAGAAGAAGAAAGTTTCGTTTCAAAAGAAAATTGTTTTCTTGAAAATTAATTTTTGTGCTCTAAGTATTTTGTAAGATGGGAGCAGGGAAAACAGCTAATTCGTACCTCCATTCTGAGTAGTGTAGCGATTTAACACATGCACTATTTTGGTGTGTAAATTGATACCCCAACTCTTTAAAATTTGAATATAGATATCTCAATTTTACATCATCCGGCCAAAATCAACTTTGACCAACATCCCATTAGTCAACGTTTCTGATTCCGTTAACGGCGATGACTCAGCTGCCAGCTCCGTGCATATGTGGAATAGTAATAAAAATGATGTCGTTTTGTCAGTTTACAGATTTAATTTTTTTTTCCCAAAACGATGTCGTTTTGTGTTTTTGGGTTTTGACATTTGGGCTTCGACATTTAGGCTTTGATTGAACCCGCTCAAATACACACTCAACAAGCCTCCTTCTTCTTCTTCATTCATCTCATGCTTCTGCTGTGTAAGAGATGCGGTGGTGAAGAAATGACGGCGGCCGGAGTAGCCTCGGCTCAGACGAAGAAGCTTCTTATTTTTAGTCTTTCTCTCTTCCATCGTGGATTTAACTCCTCCAAATAGTTTTCATTTCTATTTTTAATGCCTTTTCGATCCCTAATTTCTCTTAATGACTGCCCAGAAAAATTAAATTCGAAGAATTTTGTATCGGTCATGTACTCGAGCTTTGGTATCCGTTCTCGATTTGGGTAGAAAAAAATAAAAACAAGTTAGGGTTTTCTAGTGTATTGATACTTCTTAGCTCGAGAATCGGATTAAACAAAAATTATGAGAAATTTTCCGATTTGAGCATTTTGCGAGGTCTTAATGATCTAATGAACTTTTTTTACAAAATTTAATTGGAAAAAAAAAGCAAAATTGCGGCGAAGATGGCAATAGCTCGGAAAAAACTTATGAAGAATAAGAGACAAGTTGTGGTAAAGCAAATGAGGAGCGACATCGCAGTTCTTCTTCAGTCCGGTCAAGATGCCACCGCTCGAATCAGATTTGAGTGGATTCAATCAAAGCCTAAATGTCGAAGCCCAAAGCACAAAACGACGGTGTTTTGGGAAAAAAAATTGAATTTGTAAATTGACAAAATGACGTCGTTTTGTTACTGTTCCACATGTGCACGGAGCTGGCAGCTGAGTCATCGCCGTTAACGGAATCGGGAAGGTTCACTAATGGGATATTGGTCAAAGTTGGTTTTGGCCGGATGGTGTAATGTTAATGTATCTATATTAAAATTTTAAAGTATTAAGGTATCAATTTACACACCAAAATAGTACGGGTACTAAATCGCTACACTGTTCAGAGTGTAGATACGAATTAGCCGTTTTCCCGATGAAAACATATCTTAAAGCATTATGATACCCAAAATACATAAATATTTAGTAAGTACATTTTCTCAAAACTTTTTTTGTGGATACAACTTTTTCTCAAATGTTTCGCAAACAACTTCTACTTTTATTTTTACTTCAAATAGTAAAACATTATTTTATGCGACTGTCTGTTTACTAATTACGAAAACGTATTTATGGTAATATAGACAGATTCCACGTCTTTTTTCTATTTAAACCAGCAAGGCAGAGAAGCACACTTTTTCAATTTCATTACTGATAATTTGATACTATCATTTTACTAATTAAAAAATCATTTCTAGTATTTTAACCCTGATTAATAAAAATCACGAACCTTAAGTGGTCAACGTTGTGGGGTCCATAACTAACAAACGGGTTAAGTATATTGAATTTTTTTATTTCTATAAATAAGAGAAATACTATTAATCACCCAGTGACTGTTAGTTTCGCGGGAGCCGGAGAGAAATCGTACGCTAGGTAGAAGAAGAAGAAGATCGATCAGTCGTCTACTCTTCGCGATTTTCTGGTGATACATTTTTGCTGAACCTCGTAGATCGTGTTTATTGATTTTCCACCTCTAATTTTTCTTAATCACCATGTTCGCGTGCTTCGTTTTAGTTTTGAGTATATACTTTCAGTTTCTTCTTCCGATTGCTTTTTGTTTTCCCCAGAAAACTGAAATTTGAACGTCTTCAGATCCCATTTTCTGATTTTTTCACTGAAGTTCCTTAAATTTCCTCCAAACATCTGCAGATTTTGGGTTGGATCGTGTGTGTGGAAGAATCGAGATTTTCCCCCACTTGAAGCTCATAGAGAAAGATTACACAGGTTCGTTTTCTTCTCTTTCTCAGTGATCGTTCGACTAAAATCGCTCCACTCTTGATCTCAACGCCACATTCATATTCGCCACACTGTTTAATACCATCTCTGTTTGCGATCGGAGAAAACATTTCTCAATCGAGTAAAAAAATCCCTAAATTAGTTTTCCGCGATTTTTAAGCTCTTTTCTGGATTTTTGTAATGGAAACTGAGTACCTGAGAAAATGTTGACGATGTTTTATCAGAGATGATCGAAAATCGGGTCTTATAGAGATAAGATTAAACGATTCCGGTCATAGAAGTTCCTTTCTTTGTTTTTGATTGTGTATAAATTGAAATCATCGATCTAATTAGTGATCGACTGCGAAAGAAATTGATTTTCTCCACTTTGTAATGTTTCCACAGGAAGATGAACCATTCTTGTAAACGATCATTTGTCTACGCTATTAGAGATTACCCAAATGGCTGTGGAGATCAGTCTCATGATCTTCCTGAGAGATCCATCAAGAATCCGAGAACTGTCGATGCTCCTGCCAACATTCCGAGTAATGATCATGCTGTTGCAGCTCCGAGACCTTATGGAACTTCTCGTCTCAAACAAGAGCCAGTGTTTGAAAGCTCTGTTCATGATTTGGCTGCTGCAGCTCCAAGACCTAAGGTAACCTCTTTCAAAGAAGAGCATGCAGCGTTTGGTAACTCTTATCATGATCATGTTGCTGCATCTTCTAAAGCCAGAGGCACGTCTCTCACACAAGAAGCTGCGGCTAGAAACTCTGATCAGCACGATCCTACTACACCCCGTGAGAAAGTTCTTGAGGTCTTGCGTGCTTTTAAAGATGTTTTCCGACAGTTGGATCGTGATAAGCAGGCAAGACGAGGTGGAGATTTATCCGTTGCTACGGATAGAATAGACATCAAAACACAAGCTGTGTTAGAGAGTATGGGGAAATCAGTGAACACAGAGAAGAGGATAGGATCGGTTCCTGGAATCATCGTAGGCGACGTCTTTCAGTACAAAACCGAGCTTCGTGTGGTGGGTCTTCATTTCAAGACCATGTGTGGGATTGACTATATGAAGGTGGGAGACGTCAAGCTTGCCACTAGCATAGTTGCCTCAGAAGGTAACGGCTATAACGATAAGTATGATGCTGGTGTTATGATCTATACAGGTGAAGGAGGAAACGTGATGAGCAAGGAAGAGAAAACCGAGGATCAGAAACTGGTTAAGGGTAATTTGGCTTTGGCCAACAGTATGAGAGAGAAGAGTTTAGTGAGAGTGATACGTGGGGAAGAGAGATGGGATCGAAAAGGGAAAAGGTATGTGTATGATGGATTATACTTGGTTGATAGATATTGGGTAGAGAAAGAAGTTAGAGGTACCACTGTCTACAAGTTCAAGCTTTGTAGAATTCCTGGTCAACCTCCGTTGACTTGAGAACAATATTATCAAAAAAGTGAAAATAAATCTATGATTGTGTAATAAAGTTTTTTTCAGTATAAACGCGGAGATTTGTTTCAGTTTCAGTACATTATAGGTATTTTTTTAATCGTAAGCGATATCAATCTGTAAAACGAGAACGGTACAAAACATTGGTCAAAGCGTGAAGAACACACAAAGCAATACAAACATATGAGCTAAAAACTAAAAAGTGTTAAGAGGTATCCTGTGATCCCCTAAAATTTGTAAATTAACAAAAATTTAGTGTACATTTAATTGAGCTAATGTAAAATAGTCAAAAATTATTATTGTGAACTGAAACAATAAATTACATAGCCTTGTTATTTCCTTCTTTTCCTAGAAGGTGTAGTGTGAAAACCAACTTTTCTTAATGGATCTCATTTAAAATATTTCATATTTTTGTATTATTCTTGAACGGTTAATAGCGAAACATTCATTTAAAGACTAAAAGTTTATGTAGGTATTTATGGTAATGTATTACTGATACACGTGATACTTTTTTTCATCTCCTGTGAAAGCATCTTCACGCTTGGCAGTATGCATTATTGCTTTACTAATTTAAGAATCGTTAATATTTTTTTACTTTCATTTATCAATTTTATTTTAATCAAAATTACTTAAACTATCATACAACCATTTATTTGGCTAACGTTGGTTGGGCGCTCCATTATAACAGAGAGCTTTTTTCTTTGTCGTCAAGGAGAGGTTAGGTACATTGAATTACATTTTATAAATAGAGAAAAATAATACTCAAACCTTCCTCTAACTATCTTTTAACACTCAACGAGATATTGTGCGGAGATTGTTCCTTTCTTCGGAGGAGGAGAGGGAAGATCGGTCGTCCATTGATAGAGTAAGATCATCCAGTTTCGTATTCATCACTCTGTTTTCTACAATCTCTGTTTCCGACTCGTCTACAACCTCTAATAACAGATTCCGGTTACTGGTTTCTTCTTATTGCTTTGTGTTTATGGGTTTAGAAATATAAATCACAGAACTGATAAAGTGATGAATTGCTAAAGAAATTGATTTTGTGCATATTGTGATGATTCTGCAGGAAGATGAATCGTGATCAGAAACGACCAATTGTCTATGCAGTTCGAGATTTCCCACCTGGCTGTGGAACTCACATTAATGATCTCGAGAAGGCTTTCAAGAATACAAGAACAAGTGATGCTGTTGTCAAGAATCCGAGTGATGACCAAGTTGTTGCAAATACAGAATCTGAAGGAACTAGTCTCAAACCAGAACCACCGTTTAGAAACTCTGATCATGTTCTTGCAGCTTCTAAACACAAAGGAGCTTGTTCTAAACAAGAACCGGAGTTTCAAAACTCTGATAATGATCATGATCATGTTGTTGCAGCTCCTTCACATAAAGAAATTACTCTCAGACACTCCTATCAACATGATCCTACTCCTCGTGAGAAAGTGCTTGAGGTGTTGCGTGCTTTTAAAGATGTTTACAGAGAGCTGGATCAAGATAAGCAAGCGAGGCGAGGTGGAGTTTCGTTTGATGCTACAGCTAGAATCGACATCAAAACGCAAGCTGAGTTAGAGAAAATGGGGAAACTAGTTAACATAGAGAAGAGAATTGGATCGGTTCCTGGAATCAACGTTGGCGACGAGTTCCAGTACAAAACGGAACTTCGTGTTATCGGGCTTCATTTCAAGACCATGTGCGGGATCGATTACATGAAAGTCGGAGATGTTAAGCTTGCCACAAGCATCGTTGCCTCAGAAGGATATGGTTATAACGATAAGTATGATGCGGGTGTTATGATTTATACAGGTGAAGGAGGAAACGTGATAAGCAAGGGAAAGAAAACCGAAGATCAGAGAATGGAAAAGGGCAATTTAGCTTTGGCTAACAGTATGAGAAATAAGAGTGAAGTGAGAGTGATACGTGGCTACGAGAGAATGGATCGAAAAGGGAAGCGTTATGTCTATGATGGATTGTATTTAGTTGATAAATATTGGTTAGAGAAAGGAGTTAGTGGTAAGGGTATGTACAAGTTTAAGCTCTGTAAAATTCCTGGTCAACATTTATTGACTTGAGAAGAGTAGTATTGTTCAAATAAATGATATAAATCTATGGGTCTACTTTTGAACAAGAAAATGAAGGTTCGAATCTATCTAACTGTAATGGGAAAAAGTCTACTTGTTACTGGATTATAAATTTCGTTCATATGCGGCTATTCGAATCGCTGTAATGAAATACCCTTCTCAAATAAAAACTTTTTTTGTTACCGGATGGATGCCTTATTAATACTATACAAGAATTTTAGTGTTAAAATCTGAAATCTATTTAGGTTTAATCATAAATAATATTGAGCTTGGGCTTATGTATATAAACCTAACAAAAATTAGACCTTCTGTAATAAATTTATTTGAGCTAATAGTTAAAAAAAAAAAAATAATTCCGATCGGATTCAGACCTATCTGAAAATCTATATTATTTATATTTTAATTTAAATACATATTTTTTAAGATTTATGTTTCTAAAAATAATGATTTGTAATAAATTTTGTTAGTCAAAAACTCTAATTTTCTAGTTGTGTGTCTTTCTACAAATCTGAAACTAAATTGAATTCTCATCTCCACTCTAAAATCTGTATAACCTAAGTTTGAAATGTTTTTTTTTTTGTATTTGATATAACAATTTATTTGGATTTGTTAAGTCAAAATTTAGTTTTTAATTTGAATTGGATTTAATAAGACAGTACTAATGATTATTTAAATCTGGATTTATTTTTTATAAATATTTTTGCTTAGAATGTAATTTTTTTATAGATATAATATATAAATAGGAATTCAAAAAATCTCAAAATATTCTATAATTCTAGTAGAATTTGACCAAGTTTTAAAACACAAACTCGATATATTTTTAGGTTATGTCATATCAGACTTAAATATATAAATTTCAGTCCAAACTAGATAGGGCCAACTTGATTGACATGCATATTTTAAACTATACTTTCTAACAATATGTTCTGTGTTTGTGTATGAGAAAGACAAAAAAGAGTTTAGATATATGAATTTAGAAAGAAACAAAGAGCTCAGATCATCTCCAATGTATTTCTCCATTTTCTATTCTAAAATAGAGTAATTTCAAAATGGAGTTGTGTTTTACTCCAATATATTTTTCTATTTTCTACTCCAAAAATAAATATCATATTATTAATTAGCAAGCAAGTTGGGGTGTGATTGAAAGTTATAATGATTGATTACTTTTTGCCCCTTATATAAATTTACTTTAATTACCCTGAATGAAATTAATAAATTAATATAATCTAATTTTTAACTGATTTTTGTTTTTTTAAAATCTAGATTTTTAAATTCAAGTTTATATCATAAAAATATTCAGTTTACTAAAAAAAGGTAACTAGCATAAATAAAAGAAAATCCTAATTATTTCATTAAACTAATTTTAATTTGATTGTTTAATTTACTAATATTTTGACTAACCTAATTGATTTATGCAACCACAAGTAAAACCTTAAATCATTTAAACTTTTTTAAAACTCCATTTTGGATTGCTATTTTTTAATGCAAACTTTAAATTTTATTATTCTAATCTACCAATTTACTTCAAAAGAAGATAATTATTTATCATGTTTGATAAATGCAACAAAACAACAAAGCATACATATAAGTTTTTATCGGATAATATATAAGATATAAATAATATATTTTGCTTTGTACAAAAATATAATATACTCATAAAAATTATATATTTTTTAAATATATTAAGTTTCGTTTCGAAACATTATAAAATCTGATTTTTTTATCTATAAATAAACTAATGGTATACTTTTTTAAAAAATTAATTGAATCTCGCACAAAGTGCGGGAGAACACCTAGTTCTAAATAGATTTTATTAGATTTTATTATTAATACCTTTTAGTTTTAAAATTTACAAATAACTGTACTTATTTTATTATTTAAAATTTCTTTCAAAAATTATAAATTAAATATTTCAAATAATGAAAATTACATAACATCAGAAAAAGCATATGCAATTTTTTATTTAAACATTACTATTACTAAATTTTTTTTATCATTTATATTTTTTTGTATTTGTTGTCTTAAAAATTATTTTAATTTCACCTATTATTATGTATTTCTAAGTTTATTTTATTTTGTAACTTTTTCTGGAAATAATTTTAGTGTTTATATATTCATAATTATCAGTTTTATAATATTTATAAATATTAAATAATATAATATATAATTATTTTAAATCTAAAAGGTTAATTTGCAAATAAAAAAGTTCAACTCCAAAATTGGAGTAGAGTTTAGATATATTCCAAATATGGAATAAAATTTAGGTTTACTCCATTTTAGAGTTGAAAATAAAGTAAAATTGACAGAATTTTACTTAAAAATAATATTTGGAGTTGAAAATAGAGTATGGTTGCAGATGCTCTTAAACTAGGAAGATGGATATTAAAGAGAGAGCATTTGTTTATTCTCTTGTTTACAACACTTTCAACTTTTATATTTATAATAACTTAACACATATATATAAGAGGGTAGCTTGGTGAGCAAGTTTATGAAACTTTGTGAAAAGCTTGGGGGGAGAAATCCATATAAGAGGTAAGAGAAATTATTTATAGAAGAAGTAATTTCCATGTTAAGAAATGGACAATCGTTTCATAACGTTAGAGATAAATAATGAACAATTGCATAGATGACAGAGAAATCACTAGGCCGCTTGATTAATCCGGTTGAATCTAGATCATTCTTTGGATTATATTGAGAAAAAGGCCAAAAAAGTACCCAACTTTATATATTTGTCAAAAATATCATTCAATTTGAAATATCAAACGTTCTTATAATTTTGTGATTCAGTTTATATTACTTTGAGATAATTCATGTTTACATTTGAAAACTTTTACTCTGCGTAATTATTATAAGATATGATAACAAATTGATGTAGTTTTATGGGCTTTTCATTTTCTCTACTACTCCATACTATATTATCATTTTCAATTTGTTTTCTATCTTCTTTCAAAAGAGAACAAAACATTAAAAATAATAGTAAATCAATTCAATGTATATAGTTGAAGTAAATTATAGAAACAACAATATATGTTCATGTATTAATCAATGCGCACAGAAGTACATATAGGAATAGAAATTTGAATTTTCCTAGACTTCTGAGTTTCCACTAGTGTATTTGTAGTAATAAAGTAAAATGAGACTGAAAAAGGAAAGAAACTTTAAATGCTATGGAGACATTATAGTATAACCACAAGTACCAAATTGGCATAACGCCTCACGTGATTATAAAGGCTGATTATTGCTGATAATTATATTAATTCGCTTAATTTCATTTAAAGAGCATAACAGAAACGGCCATTAACGTAGTTAGTGGCTAAACGGAACAGCATATTGTAATCCCTTTTAAAAATCAAACTCTCAAAACTATAAGGCAAAAACAGTATCTCTCGTATTATTTCAGTGCCTTCTCGTTTTCCGAGCCTTAAGAGATTACAAGAGTAATCACAGAGTGGACGAAGAAGAAGAAGAAGAAGAAGAAGAAAAAGAAGAAGAAATCGATCGTTTCGTTTTCCTCGTGAGATTTTCTCCGATTCACTGACTGTTTTATTTTCCCTACCTTTTTCTGCTACAAATCACTATAAATAGCCCACTTGCTCTTCGTAGTTCATACTTCATACCATCCTCATTTCTCTTCGAAGTTGCGTGTTCTTGGCTTAGTTCTGTTCTGAATCTCTGGTTTCGATTTTCTGAGATTCACACGTTCCTTGTTCTGCCTTTTGCTTGGGTTTCGTTTAGCAAGTGAAATTTCATCGAAATCTCTGGAATTTTGGGTTGAATCAAGTGTTAAAATCGATTTTTCGCTGTTCGTATTTTCCAATCTCCATGGTCTTACACACAGTAATAGCTCGAATTTCAACTCAGAGACTCTAAATCGCTCCACGTTTACAGTCTTCGTCACCTTCGTATTTATCATCTTGTTCTTTGTTACTGTTTAATTATTTTACCCTAAGTTACTGTACACTCTTCTTCCCTAGATTCGGCTCATTTTCTGCCATTTCTTTGAGTTTTACACTCAGTCAAAATATTTGTACTCTACCATTTGCTTGCAATTTATGGTTTCTTCTTTGCTTCGAGGTGTCTCTGAGTTTGGAATCAGTAAGGGTAGTAACAAACTGATTGTCTTCACATTGTTTGTCCGCAGGAAGATGATACAACAGATTTATAATCCGAGAAAGGTCTCTGCTGTAAGAGATTTTCCCGATGGATGTGGTACTCAGCCCATTAAGAATCCGACAGGTGAGATTGTTGCAGTCACGAGTGAGATACGACAGAGACCGGTTCGCTCTGAACATAGCTGTGACGGTGTGACTGATCAAGATTACCACCATAGGCGTGCTTGTTCTGTTGATAGGTTTAAGGAAGTTGAATCATTTGATGTGATTATGAAGAAAGCTGGCTTCAATTTGGCAAATAATGGTAATGTTGGGAGAAGAAGATTTGATGCAGCTAAGAGGAAGTTTACTCCATCTTGTGGAAGTAAAGTCAAACCTCTAAGTTTAGAGGAAAGCATGAGGCTGATTGCTTCTCAGAGCAGAAGAAGGGAACTTTCAGGTTCATCTACTAACATTAGGAGGAAGCTTTTGCTAGCCAAAGCTGTGCAGAGTTACAGAAACTCCCCCGAGAAGAAGAAGGAGAAGAAGAAGTTGAGTAGTGCAACTGCTACACTCAACAAAGTTACTATGCAACAAAACCAGAACACAATAGTTCTTAGCCCACGGGAGAAAGTTCTCAGGACACTGCGTCTTTTCAAACTCGTGTTTAAAGAGCTGGAACGAGACAAAGCTACACGGCGTGGAGAATCAAAGACTGTCATGGGTAGGATAGATCACGAAACAAGGACTATCCTCATGCGCGAGGGGATTCAAGTGAATGGTGTAAAGATGATCGGAGCAGTCCCTGGAATCGAAGTTGGAGATGTGTTTCAGTACAAATCAGAACTCTACTTGATCGGTCTCCATTTCGACATCATGGGTGGGATTGATTACTTGAGTAGAGGAGACTTGAAACTAGCTACGAGCATTGTTTCCTCGGAAGGTAATGGTTACATGGATAGATTCGACTCTGATGTGATGATTTACTCTGGTCAAGGAGGTAACGTGACGAGCAAAGATCGAAAACTAATCGAAGATCAGAAGCTTGTTACGGGCAATTTGGCTTTGGCAAACAGCATGAGGGAAAAGACTCCTGTGAGAGTGATTCGTGGCACAAAGAGATTGGACCAAAGAGGAAAGTGTTACGTGTATGTTGGGTTATATTTGGTTGAAGATTATTGGCAAGAGAGAGGATTTGTAGGTAATGTTTTGTTTAAGTTCAAGCTTCGTAGAATATCTGGTTGACTTGAGACATTAGTGTGAGATTAAATATCTTAGGCCCTGGATCAATGGTAGTATTATCAGATGAAATATAACTTTGTTTACAATCATAACATTAGGTTGGGGATTTTTCTCTTTTTTTGTCATTAGGTTTGGGATCTTGTTGCGATGTTGCTGTACAAAATTATCGATCTTGTGCCAGTTCTTTATTAATATTTAGACTTCCTCAATACTTCAAATTTATGCCTTTACTCTATTTCTAATTTAAGTAAAAGGACCACATAACAACCTTAAAAGCTAATAGCAACTTTAAATCTGGTTCACTCAAGTGTTCAAGATCTACTCAGCAAAATAGGTCATTGTGAGTCACTCTCATTCAATACCTCCAACAACCATAAAGCAAACGAAAGACATTTATTACAATAAACTCTATATCGAGGCAGTGTTTTAGAGCTTAAGAAAAGCTAAAGTTGGTTTTATGTTATGTAAATGTCATTATCTAGAAGTTACAGATGTGGAATTCATTGTATATAATTCATTGAAATCTATTAAAAACATTCTAATTACTTCACCTTGAGGTATTCCTAAATATGGATTTAACTAGAGCTATATTCGATGGGACAAAACTATTTTGTCACCGCTTTAAAAAAAAAGGAGAATAGAAATTAAGCTAAAACAGAAAAAGTAATAAGGAAAACAATACAAGAAAAAAAGAAAGAGAGGGAAAAAAAAACATTCGCCAAGGTTCAAGAACTCTCTCAACAACATGATCATGATAACAGTTTCTTTCCCTCAGATTTTGGATCAATGATCATGATCAGAGTTTTTAAACGCTGGTTCTTGTTAAAGACAAGTTCTATAAGTTAAGCCAAAAACGACACAAGCCAATCAAAGAAGAAAAAGAGAGTGATGAAATTCGTTTCAAAGAAGTCATCAGTATCTTCCTTTTTTTCAGGCTTTATCTGAGCATACATTACAAGTTTAAACATTAACAAGGAGTAACATAATCATAGATTCCGCAGAAGTAGTATGCATACGACATATATAAACACAAAAAAATCTCTTAAATCTCCTTGTTGATGTTCAAACTTATATATGCTAATGTTTAAGCTTATATATATGCTTATACAACAAATAAAAAGAAGATATGCAGCAACATCATTACGTGGTGGCTAAGCAAGTAACGGTTTTAACGGGTTTTTAAGTGTTTTGGACTTGTCTTTTTTTTATATGTTTAAATGGGCCTATGTCGGTGTTAGGCCTCCCACATGACTTGTTTGTGTCGCTAAACCCCTAAACCTAAAGTTTTCACACTTTATATAAAAAGAGCTACGAGATGGAAGAGCTACAGAAAATATTCTGTAAATCACGCCAAAGCTACTGATCAGACGGTGCTGTCAATGTCGGGATATCAAATCTGCCCCAAAGGGAAGAAGAGATAAGCAGGTTGTTCTACGTCATCTAGTGGCCAAGGTGAGGAATTGGTTTACCTATGAGATTAGCTATATGAACCATCTTAAATGATATTATGAATTTATGACTAGTCTATATACTATATATACATATATATCTACTTATCGATAGATTTGGTTGTTTGTGTTGAAATGTATGAATGTTCATTCACTCCTTTGCTGGTTGAGAAACCTAGTATACATGTTTAAACACTGGATCTAGATATTGTATGATACGTATGTTTTTGATATGTGATGGGTATCTCATGGAGATTTGAGTGTGGTGCTTTGGGCATGTACAGTGCCCCTTATTAAGGGACGCACAAGATCCCAATTACGTGTAAAAGGGGCTATAAATTATTTTCATATGCAATTTATAAAAATAATATTCATTGAAAAATCTTTAAAAATATATTTTAGAGATCAAATTATTTTAGTATTAGGAATTTAGGTCCCACAATAATGTTCAGCCGTCCCTGGGCAAGTGGGACGGTTTCGAACCACGTAGTGTTAGTAAGGTTGGAGAATCTCTTTACTTCACGTTCACGTTTAACGAGTTCGTGTGTGAAGATTTTTGAATCAAAAGGTCGATAGACCATGTTTGTGGTAGGACTCACATGTGTGTTGCCTGAGTGCAATGACACTATGTTTGCTGCATGTTTTGGGTTTAGACTTAGAAGAGTCGTGAATTGCAAATCATTTACGAGCTAGATGGGCTCAATTTTGCTGGGTAATGCAAATTACTCAACCATATCTCTCTCTCCCCTTCGTGTAGGATAGTTAAGACGAAAGTGCTAGTTCGTAGTTTTTCTTCAAATTTTTTTGAAGCATCCTACGACCGATCCAAACAAAGAAGGCAAGTCTGTTGGCTTGTGTGGATGAGACGTGTGTCTGGTGACAATATATTCTAAAGAGCTCATAGTACGGTTTCCTTTTCCTTTAATTTTTCCTTTTCGCTACGGTTTTCTATTGGACTTAGGAAAAGGAAAGCCTCATACTAAATGGTGTAGGAATCGGGTTTTGGGGCTTATAAATACAAAGTCTTAGGATTATAAATCATTATTCACACAAATTATAAAGAAATCCTAAAACGGCTGTTTGCCTCGATTTCGTTTTCCCTCTAAGTTTATTGTTCTTTTTCTTATTTGATTCGACCTAATTTGCAACAGTTGTCCATGCCTTGTGTAGCGAGAGATGGTAACTAGAGTAGGCCTAATCATTCTGTTGATTGGTTTAAAGAAGTTGAACCAGTTGATGTGATTATGAAGAACGCTGGCTCCAATTTATCAACTAATGGTAATGTTGGGATGGGAAGCTTTGATGTAGCCAAGAGGAAGCTTCCTCCATCTCGTGGTAGTAAAGTTAAACCTTTAAGTTTGGAGGAAAGTAAGAGACTGATTGCTTCTCAGGGAAGAGGAGGACAACTTTCAGCTTCATCTAGCATTAGGAGGAAACTAGTGGTAGTCAAAGTTTTGAAAAATCAGAGGAATTCACAGGAGAAGAAGAAGACCTTGAGTATTGAAACTGTACCAAGAACAAAGACTCACAAACCAGCTCAAAACAGAGATGAAAGACTGTCAAATCAAACTGGTTTCATCCCGGTTATGCAACAAAACCATAAAACCAAAGCTCTTAGCCCACGCGAGAAAGTTCTCAAGGTGTTGCGCATTTTCAAAAAGGTGTATGAAGAGCTGGATCGAGACAAAGCAGCACGACGTGGAGAATCAAAGACTGCCACGAGTCCGATAGATTACAAAACACGGGCTATCCTCATGAGCAGCGGGATGCAAGTGAATGCTGTGAATAGGATTGGAGCGGTCCCTGGAATCGAAATTGGAGATGAGTTTCAGTACAAAGCAGAACTCAACTTGATCGGTCTCCATTTTGGCATTAGGAGTGGTATTGATTATATTGATACAGGAGGCTCGATGCTAGCTACAAACATTGTTTCATCGGAAGGTAGTGGTTACGTGGATAGATTCGACTGTGATGAGATTATATACTCTGGCCAAGGAGGGGACGTGAGGGGCAAGGATCATAATAAAGTAACCAAAGATCAGAAACTTGTTACGGGCAATTTGGCTCTGGTTAATAGCATGAAGTCAAAGACTCCAGTGAGAGTGATTTATGGCAAAAAGAGAGTGGACCAGAGGCAGAGAGGAAAAAGTTATGTGTATGTTGGGTTATATTTGGTTCAACATTATCGGCAAGTTAAAGGACCTAAAGGTAATGTTTTGTTTCAGTTCACGCTCCGCAGAGTTTCTGGTCAGCCTTCAGTTGACCTGAGAGATTAGTGTGAGATACAACTTTCAATTATGCTTTTGTTTTCGTGGAATTAGTACTATCAATTATGCTTTTGTTTTTTTTTTCTTTCTCGTTTGTGTAAAACAGCGTTTTTACTTCTTTTTATTTTTCCCTCTCTCTTAAACATTGATTTTTTTCTATACCCCTTATCAAAAAAAAAAAAAAACAATACTAAAATTAGAAAACCAGAATTATTATTTAGTATTCCCTCCGTTTTATAAAATGTGTCATTCTAAAAGTATAATTTTTGTTACACAAAAAGGAGCAACAAACATAATACAATTATCAATATGCCACATCCTATTTGAGTTACTCTAAAAAATATTTCCAGCCTATTATACTCTGATTGGGGAATTAGTTGGATAGCATCAGGTTTAGGGGAACCTATGCTCACTAATAAACCAAAGTTAGAGCATCTCTAATGGGGGATTCTTAAAATTATCTTTCATCCAAAAAAAAATATAAAATAATGAAAAGCAAGAGAGAATGAATAACACTTCTTATTTAACCAGTTTGGGAAGCGACTCTCCTATTTTAAAGAGTCTCATCTAATATATGACACTTTCTAATTGGTGTAAATTTCTTTTGATTAAAAAATTAATATATATTTTTTTAAGAGACTCTTGAGGTTTCCATGCGTTGGAGATGGTCTTAGATCCAACTCAAATGGGTGAGGCTAAACTAATGGTGGAAGTAGAGTTAGATAAAGCTTTTCCGCAGCGAATTGCAGCTGGAGACCAAAAAGGCAATGTGTCAATGGTGTCTTTTGAGTACTCTTGGATTCCTTCTAAGTGTGAAAGATGTAAGCATTTAGGCCACAAGAAATCAAGATGTCTGCTCCTTCATGAAACTAAAGCTAACACTCCAAACTTTGTGGATACTAGAGCAACCGCTGATATAGCTTATGAAGTTGTTAATACTATAATTCTAGACATTCCTTTTGTTCCCCCTATAGAAGCAGCCAATAAAGTTTCAAATGATGTTGTTGCTGCACATGTTGCAGTTTTATCTACTTCAGCCTTATTTTGTGAAGAGATAGAACCGGTGGCAACTCATGTTGCTAATCTAATTGATTTAGATCATATCAATGCTTTAGAAAATGCCAATGCTACTCCTTCGTTTGGTTCTCCTCCTGATTTGGTAACCTTCTCAACTCCTTTCTCAGATTCATCTGCTAATGATGAAATGTCTTTGGAAGCAATCCTCTTAAAAGGACAAGAAGAGAAGAAATGCAATGGACCATGGTAGGGAAGGGAATAAACAAATGGCCGTGGCTGTAGAGACCGCAGATCACTATTTTAGAAGATTTTAAAATACAGCCGCGGATCATTATTTTAGAAGATTTTAGAGAGCTATTTCTAGTTCTTTTTTCTATTTAAATTTTTACTTTGTTATAGTGTTCTCTTTTTAAACATCTTTCTTAAACTATATGACCATATAGTCATATCTTTGTATTCTTTTTTTTCCTTGCATTTTAATTGAAAGCCTTTTATCAAAAAAAAAAGTACCATTCTACATTTTCAATATATAATTTAATATAAAAACCCAGTTTTGATCTTACTAATTTAATGTTTTAATTTGAATGATAATATAATTTTATGTGTGATAAAGAGTAAAACAAAACTTTTAATAATTTTTTAATTTATGTGAAATATATGTCAAAATATCATTTTTTATAAAACAACTGGAATATAATTTAAAAGCAAATCAGTCATAGTTATAGTTGATTTTGGTTTGATAAAAAAACCCAAATATCGAATGACTCAATACCAAGCCGATATAGCTAGATATCTACGTTGGCTTTTTTTTTTTCATTTACGGAACAACTCAAAACCTTAATGTTCCCAGTGAATAGCACACATAAGTTAGTTGATCTCGGGTTAGTCCTTCCTTCAAGATAGTGGTGCTGTCGGTTTAAGTTCTGCTTGGAGCTCATGTCTCTTGGTTCGAAGTTGGTGTTTTCTAGTTCCGTTTGGACTTTGGAGAAACGTTTATGTGCCTTTGATCAGTGGCAAAGTTGTTGCTTTCAGAGTGTTTTTGTTATTCATTCAGGTACTTAGCTCGTCTCTTTTGGCTTTGTGTCTTTGGAATCTTCGTTAAATTCGGATGTTTGTGTATCCTTCGTTGTTCTTAATATCCTACCTTGTTTATTCTTTGTTCTTAATAAATTGATATTTTATATTTTTTGTAAATATTAAGAAATAATCATTATTTTTAGTAATTACTTTTTCTTTACTTTTTACCCTTTAACTAATAATCAAATAATTAGAAGCAAAGAGGAATATAATTTTAGAAGAAAAAAAAACACATATAAGTTAGTTTTTATGTATTTTGTCCCTTTTGTTCTCTTCACAGGACAAATATGTATCCAGTTGCCAGATTGTTAAGTAACAGATGTCCATTGCTTTATTTTTTCTTTAAGTGTATTAGTAAAATATGCATTTCTGAGTTTAAATTTTATTTCATAAATTAGTTAAAAATATATATTTTGAAAACAATATTTAAATTTGATTTACAACCTAATTTTCATTAAAAGAATTATACTAAATCTAACACTTTTTTCCATCTGCTTCAAATCCCTACCACTCTAGGCACGGCTCCATAACATGTGACATAAGATCTAATCTATAAACTGAATTCATCATTCTTTCAGCAGCTCGCCTTTTGAAAATTTACCTAAAAGTAAAAAAACAAGCTTTGATTAATCTTAGTCCCCATTTAACATGGCTTCTTCTCAGGTTTTGGCAGCTGTTTTTGTTTGATTTTGATCTTTAATATTGAGCAAAAAGCAATATTGTTAGATAGTACCATATTAGTTCGACAAATATTAGAAAAATTAGATAAATTCACATAAATAACGACATTTATAAATTAATTTTATTGTGAATGCTGAAAAAATGATTGAATCACTCTATAGTCTAGAATTTAAGTTGAAACGAGTTTCAGTACAAAGCAAAATTCACCTAAAGAGTGATATACTGGAGCATGATGTTATGTAATCTGAACAAAAATGTTCAAACTGTTAAGAAGAAACCAAAGGCTCGAAACCGGGAATTTAGCTTTAGCCTTCGCCAATAGCATGCAGAACAAGTCACTCGTGAGAGTTATACGAGGAAAGAGACGATAAGAGACAAAGAGGAAAGTTGTGTGTTTACCTTGGCTTGTACTTGGTGCAAAAATACTCCATAGAGAAAGGAGCTGAAGGTAACCTTCTGTTCAAGATTATTAGACTATCAGGTCAGCCTATGATTGACATCAGAAGATTATAGTGAGAGGAACTTTCTTTTTTTTTGTTTTTGTATAAATAGTAGTAGGTGGATCTGTGTCATCTTTGTTATTGAACATTCATTGCTTAACATATTAAGTTGGGAAACTTCTTTCTCTAATATATGGATGATATTAGATATACTTAGAAAATGATTTAAATTTAAAAAAAAAGGTTTACTTCATGTGTTATTTACTTGTGGATGGTATTGTTAACTACGGTTTCTCCCGTATAATTAATTTGTTAACTTTAGTGTTAACTACAGTTTCTCCCGTCAATGGTAATGACAAAATCTGCCTTCGAAGTATGGGTATAAAATGTTTGTAATCATATTTTTTATTTACACTGTTGATCTAACATATTTTAAGGTTTTCGGTAGAATAAAATTTAGACTCTAAAATATTATTTTTTAATTTTATTTTGTCATTTTCTATATATATATTTATAAATTTTGGATTAAAAACAAAGAAAATAAGGTGGTTCAAATTTTTTTTAAAAAATGGGCCATTTAATAAGAAGGATAACAAAATATTAGGCCCATAATGAGAAATGTAACAAAAATTTAAGCCTTTGATAATTTAATGAGAATAATAAATTTAATAAATTTTTATATAACTAATGGAAGTCCAATGGCATATTAAGTAAATAACACATAAAGTAAAGGTTAGTCTTTTAAAGTAGATTTTCTTTTAATATAATAGATAACAATACTGTATGCCTAATATTTTTTTCGGGTTAATGAATATACCATTTAATTGATTAGTCGACTGTATATGTACTTCTTCTTTTTTTAATCAAATCAAAACGGTGGAACAGTTTAGGGCCAAGTATTGATTAAATACCTAATAACAGGGTTAACAGATCCACGATGCGACTAACAGCTTTAGGAGGTGTTATTGGTTCTTGTATTTTAATGAATTTGAGAATCCAAACCAAATTCAGTGTTATTGATTCTTGTATTTTAAAATCTATATTGAAATACAGTGTTATTGGTTCTATGATTTTGAAATCCATAATGAAATACAGTGTTATTGGTTCTATCATTTTAGAATCTAAATATTATAAAGATTTGTGTTTTAATTGAATTTGAATAGATTTGGAAGGATTTTCATGACTAAAATACAAAGACCCAAATACAAGCTCTAACATTGGTATTTGAGTGGATTTGATTTTTTTCTATTTTGCTGATTTTAAAATCAATAAATTTATCAAATCCAAAGAAGATTTATAAATCAACCAAAATACAAAAACCAATAACCCCTACTTAGTTTTCAGTTCCTCAAAGATCTTGTTAGCAATGTTTTACACCCTACGTTGCATTGAACAACATTTATTTTCTAAATAGATTACTTTTGCTTAAAAGATTTTATCACTATACATATTTCCGAATAGATTATTTTCACAAACTGAAGTTGACTCTGTTAATCTTCCTGATAGGTATTGAAACTTCAGTCTTTACAGATTTCTTTTCGCGGCTTTCTGATTCAGACTGATGGATTCATTCACACGTTTCTTTTTGTTGCCCGGCTTGTAATTTTATCAAGTTGAGATTCGCCAATCTTTTTTCTTTTTCTCTATATTGAATTTTTTTTTTCAATTAAAATTCTCATTATTGATTTCAGAGTTCTCGCAGATTCCGTTAAGTGAAGTCCTTTACATTCTTCATTGTGATCAGGCCGATTTCAGTTGATTACTCGATTTTGTTGGATGATTGTTTCTTAAGTTCTAATGTACTATTTTCTAGAAGGAACTATCTCGAACCTCTCTTAACAAATATTGAATGGATTTCAAGTGGAGATTTGAAGACTAAAAAGGAATTAAAAACTATCTTCTTTTTCCAACTGATTTTCTTCACAATGAGGTTAACAGTACAAAGGGATTAGGCATATCCATTAAATGAAAAAGCAAAGACGTAAAATCGAATGATGAAAGGGTCTTTTTGATGAGGACATCTCAACCGAACCTGACTTAACCGAGCCTCAAATGCAAGAAGTGGACATACCGGTTCCAAACAAAGGCGTGATCACAAGACAACGGGCCCGTGCACTTCAAGACAAGTACAACCAAGCCATTTTACGAGCTATGAGTGATTCTAAAGAGGGAAGCCCAAGTTTAATAGCTAAAGCTGCATGGGATGATACTAGAGACATCTTAGAAGCTACGGACCCAACAAAGATTCAAGAAAGCTGGCATTTATTATCAAAAGAAGCCCACGCCTATCTATTTGTCATTGCTACACTTGGAGACAACACTTAAGGCTCAAGATCACGGTTAAAGGAGTAATACATTACACTTATACACGCCAAAACCAAAGAAGGTAAGTCTTTGTTATCAATAATTCATATTATTCCTTTTGACTAACATTTTATGTTTTCTCTTATGATTGCTTTTAGACAGCCAATAATTCTTTTCTTAATTAGTTAAGGCATTGTTAGCCACCATTTTCGTATTTTCATTCCAATAATGTCATTTTCATTTAAATGTAATTTTGCTTCAAGTCTCCTAGAAGGGCATAGCTATTTGGACCACTATATAAGGTCCTCTCTCACAGCCTTGTATTTTTACCCTGATTTTAATAAAAAACCGAAATTTCTTCACAAAGTTTGTAATCAAAACTTGTGTTATTCTTCTTTGAATTTTGTTGAGACCAGCCCTCCAAAACCAAAGAGAAACCGTGTTGTATCAAAGGTCCCCTCCATCACCTTTGTGGTACACTTCGACCCACCCGGCCAACCCGTTTGGTCAGTCTACCCACCGGTCAGATCGTCTGAGTTCCTCGATCTCTCGACCAAAATCATCGTACCGCCATCGTACCACGTCCGTCCCGCGTTGCTACCCCAGCGTCACGTTACCGTACCACTCTCGTCCCACATTACAGCGCTATCGTCCCATCACCGTACCACCCGTACCATGACTATGGAGAGGAGGAAGATGACAACTACCCCCAGCGGCAACACCAGAGCCACGTTAAGCTTACCGCCCC